TAAGATCAGTTCAGTTATCACCTTAACGATACTTTAAATTTTGTTCTTACCTCTGGAGATAGGTCTTAAGAAAGGAAACAATTAGGGAACAAGCGGAATAGCTGTTTACCTCAGTTTGGTAGTTTCTTAGCGTTGCGGACGGCTGCGATCATCAAATGATGTATTGAAACAGAATTGGGCTCCTAATTACATTACTGGACGAAATCACGTGTTCCCTTATTTCGTAAACTCGACCAGAAATGATTTCCGTTTCCGACCTGCGGAAACATGGTTTCCGTTTCCGTGACGTTTCTGCACCGGAAACGACCTATCATCTTTCCAACGCAATTCTGTTATCACATTGTGTGTGTGTCTTTTTTTCTTTTTGGTCTCCGTTACGTTTCCGGTGAAATATCTCGTTTTCTTTTTCTTTTCTTCTTTTTTTAATCCATGACCAAGATCGCATGATCAATGCTTCATAAATATGTCTTTCCTTTGTAGAGTTTAAAATATGCAACACATAACACATAAAGACTGATAACAGCATCCAAAGATTGAGCTTATTATATAGATTTAGCCATTGAAAAAGCCAGGGCTAAAAGCGAAGCTCTGGTTAATAATACGTGTAAACAAAAAAATTTTAAAACGTGTAATGCTAAAAGGGGACAACAATGAAAATGGCTTCAAGACTAATAGATCTAATTAGCAAAAAAACAAATTGCACGTGCAGCACACTTTTTGTCTTTCCCTTGCCGTTGTTTTGCACTACCACAACGTTGTTTTGTACGACTAAAGCATCAAACTTCCTAGTTACACATTATTTTTATGGAAGAATTGTCGTCGATGCGCTGACCCAGTCTTTGTTTCCTGTGTTCATGTTCGCTTTTATTTTTCACTGCCGCTCATTTTCACCTTGCTGGCCGTTAGTATTTCTCATTTTCTCACCGCCGCTTGGAATTTCCAGGTTTTTCTTTCTTCGAAATTCGTCTCCTTTGAAAAAGACACGTCTTGGTTGTTGTTTTTTTCTTTCTAAAAGTCCGGGGGGCCATGTGATTTCCTTTCAGTTGCATTTGGGTTGCCATACCTGTTGATTGAGTTATTTTACATTGGTATGCCTGTGGTGCGGACGGACGGTCGCTCGCTCGAGCTTGCTCGGTCACGTGATTACCAAATTTTCTCGGATGGGGGGCGGCGCAAACACGGCTAAAATTACAGTGAATGTATGGGATTTTGCCCCACCTGGAAACGCTATAACGCCGCTACAAAGTGCTATAATTTTGGATTTAACTTAAAAATAAAATGTTCGATCGATTCGAACTTGTCGAAAACGGTCTTATACGATCACTAAATAAAGCTAAAATTGAAAACTGAGATGGCTAACATGTCCGAGATCTACTAAAGTGCACCAAGAACTTATGGCTCTTGAGTACACTCTTTAAGTCCAAAGCACAATGCACATGGTCGTCCGTTTTCGGAGCGGGCTTGCAAGGAAGCCAGGGGTCCCTCAGAGGGATTCCCAAAGGCTTCAATGTTACAACAACAGGACATACGTTGTAGTCTTTGAAAAAAATATGTCGCTTACGTTCCAGGTAAAAGTTAAGTTATATACCAAAACAAAGTCCAAGAATATTACTTTACCTGCTTATAACATTCCTTTGCACCGAGAGGCATGAGACGTGAAGCAAGCGCAAGCCTCTAGGGTGAACAGTGTGTGCAAGCTCCGTTTTTAACAGTAGTCAGAATGTTTGTTTTGATCACTGAAAATGCGTCTGAAAAGGTAAGCTGCCACTTTCCCGCGACTAGGTACGTGCTAAATCAAAGCTATCCCTCTGCTTAAGATATTAATTTTCTTTTGTAAATGTAGAACAGTTACTATGTTGCGAGAAACTTGAACTACACCTGTACGCATACTATTTCTAAGGTGTTTAAGGTGTTTTTCTTCTGCTGCCTTATAATTTCTTGTTGTACCGAGTTGCACGAGACTTGTAGCATAAAAGGTGAACATTACTCACCCTTTTATCATGTTTTCCCCTCGCACTATCGACACTAACTGTTGCATGTGTTGATGCCTTATCTTCTAGACAACACCACATATGACTTAAAATTTCAACCAAAATAATTTTTGATCTATCACAGTAGCGACAAAACCACAGCTATTACTACCACTGACGAAGAAAACTGCCATCAGTTGCTTCATCATGACAACATTTCGCGGGCATTTTGACCCTTGCCGGAAATCGACCAGGTGATTATTTTCGCGGTGCACATGTGTAGACATTTTTTCTTCATTTTCTCTTCTTTCTTTTTCCTGAGAATGCTACAGCCGTTCCAGGTAGAGAATACTCATTTGATCTGCGATGAATTCGATTAGGGACAGGAGAACTTACCAACAGTATGCAGACGGCGAAGGGATAGTCTCGCTTAAACCATACGCGTCTTTCCCTACTTACCGTTTCTGGCTTAAAGATACTTAAGTGTGTATTACTGGAAAAGTTGTTTTATAGTCGCATTAAATGGAAGCCGAGCACATTCATCTGAATACCGTAAAAGTCCGAAAATAAGCCCCTCCATGTATATACCCCTCCAAATATAAGCCCCCAAAACCGGTAACACAAAAAACCCTCCGTTAAATCGCCCCTCCAAATATAAACCCCCCGGAGGCTTGTACTTGGCAAATTTCCCTCAAATACAAGGTAAAACAAAGCAAAAACGGTAAATTTCCTTCCAACTATAAGGCTAGCCCAATCAATTTTGAAACGCAAGTTTCCCTCCGTAGATAAGCCCCTCCGAATATAAGCCCCTCCAAAAATAAGCCCGTCAAAAAAGGCCTTTGAAAAATATAAGCCACGGAACTTATTTTCGGAATTTTACGGTATTTCTGTTCTATGACTCTTTTGCGTACTGGAAATAACATCTGTTGAACTGAGTTACATTACGTAATCAAATGAGCAAAATTTTAATGGAATCTAATAGTTGCATTCCTTACATAAAATAGTCATCCGACTTGATGTTTCTCCGAGGGCCATTTGTCAGTTAATCCTTTCCGTTTATACTTAGGAAAAAACAATTTTCGTTTATCTATCACCCCACTTTTTTTAGTTAATCTGACATCAGTCATGCATAACCAGTACGTGTTTCTTTGGTGGTCCCTCTTCGAAATGTGAAGTAAATTATAAACCTAATCGTTAGCGCCTCGAAGCTTTAGCCAATGAGAGGAACATATTTTATTTCTGGGGCTGTCACAAATTTTCAATCCAACTTCGCACCGTAAGATAAAACTCGGTGTTAACAAACCCCTCATCTCAGTATGACAGGTCGCCTTTTAACCTATTAGCACAGGAAGAATTTTTTTTAATCAAAGAAACATGCTTGGAAGAAGGGTTCTGTGTGGCGCTGTTTCTTTGCATCCATGATGAGAAACGTAACAGGTCAGTTAGGAATCACAGTTAAGGTGTTTGGACTTGCACTGAACTCTACGTAAAAGTAACGATTGAACAATGAGGCGAAACAGTAGCTTGATTTCCCAAGGTAGGTTCTCATTTCTTTCAGTTCGTAACGTATTCGCCTTGATTTATTAGGTAGTGCGGCACAAGGTATCATTTCAACTCAAGGCATAGATCCCGCCGGGAAGAAGTGTTAAGTTGGACATGTAACTGTTTTTTTTTCTTCTTCTTTTTATCTTTATCTTTTTTCTTTCTCTTTTTTCATAGCTACGAGAATATTTTATCAAATATTGCAGTGAAAACTGAATGGATTATTCCGAAATGTCTCTCGCAGATACTGTGTTACAAAGCTGACGCGTTTCTCTTCCCCCAGTGTAATGACTTTAGGGGATACAGCAGTAAATCTTTAAAAATATTTGTTCTCAGTGATCTTGTTCAAACTCCCGCAGTTTGGCAGAGAACGTGCTGGCCTTTGACGTCTTGCGGTATCCTTCAGTACAGGAAAAAAAACACAAGCTTGTCATTTTGTTTACACATCATGCTAGATTCCTCTAAGAAAGATTCTGTTTTTAAGAACTGATTTTAGTCATTTCAAAGGCGGTCAATTGTTTTTATATGTTATCAAGATATTCTGACTGACTATGTAGGGATAGCTTTAATAGTCTATATTGACAATTTTTACACATTATTGAGGAACAGAATGCATGGTTTTATACCATCAAAACGACCTGCAGATGACCGTATGAAAGGCCACGGAGGGGAGGAATTGAAGGGATAGTGAGATAAAGTAAGGTCGTGATAAGAGGTGTACGTGTCCAAGACCCTCGTTTTCCTTAAATGGTCACCGAAACATTGTTTGAAGCTCACTTCGTTCTGCGGGCAAACTAAGCTAGGACATAAATACCACACGTGCACAACATTTTAGGGAAACGGAAGCCGTTTCCATTTTCGTAATTTTCAAGCTTTCCACGAAAAGTCAAAGAACCCCTGCAGACGTTTAAGTAAAAGCCACGCTAAATACGATAAAGATGTGAAAATAATCTCAAACACGACGGACTTTAAAAAAATAATAATTGGCTATATGACGTGGTGACAGAGAAGGTTTAAAGTGTATTGCCTTTCACTGCATGCGCAAGGGGTTGATCTTTTTGTTGTTAATTCATTTTTCGACTCCTTGCTATTACTCACCGAAATCTTTCTTGTTAGCATTTGCATTACAAGTGTTGATTGTTTTGTCTGTGATTTTTGATCACATCATTCCAATAACAGGAAATTGAAAAATGTCAAAAATAATAATAGTGGAAATTAAAGATAAGAGACGATATTAATGCCACCAGTCGTTTCTATTTTCAACCTTTCAATCTTTTAGCGTCTGCTGGGTCAAAACATTTATGGACTAAACTAAGTAACAAGACAAATATTGGAATTAAATCCCGTATGCAAAACAAAGCTGTGTCTTTTCTCACGTAACAGTATTAGTTACGGTCTTGCTTTCCCGTAGCAAAGGTAACTGTATTTTAAAACTGTTTGGGAAGTAGTTGAAGCTTTGTGGATATTCACACAGAAAAGGTCTTATGTATGGCCTCAGTCACCGAGCCGTCCAACTGGAAAAGTGAGTTGCTTGGCTTTGATGATGATGACGACGTTGATCATAATGACGTTAATGATGATGATGATGATGATGATTATGATGATGATGACTGCATTCGGTGTTTTTTGTTGTTGTTTTGTTTTTTGTCTTTTTAATTTTCAACTTAAAAGATAATGGCAAATGACAGGGCTCCTGCAAATGATTTGCTTATAGTTTATAGGGGGCCTTTAGAGTCAGCTATCACTACCTGGTACTCAAGCAAATCTTATCGGTGAAAGTTAAGAATTTGTTTTGCTCAGTAGAGTCTTATTATACATGATATAAAAAAATTTTTTTTCAGATGCTGATGTTTTCGAGGACACTTCAGTGAGTAGAGTCCAAGTTTATGTCAGAATTCGTCCTATAGTTCAGGGTGACGTCACAAGCATTACCGGAAAGGGGGCGGTGAGCGTTGAAGCTCCTGATCTTACTCAGGTGGGTGAACTGTGTAACGATTCCAAATGGGTGTTGTAAAATCGATATCGGAGAAGTCTTTTACTTGTTGTATCGTTGTTTCAAGTCAATGGGGTGGCGCGCCAACCGCGCGAGAAGCGAGGGCTTGCGCGGTCTTCACTCGCGTGAAACGTGTGATATTCCACCAGCTTTGAAGAAAAAAGGAGGCTATTACAAGTCTCAGTAGTAAATTCATATATAACAGAAGGTATGAAGCACTACAGTTACTATTGCAGACTTAAATGGAACAATCAACCAGACGTAATTCATAAACTCGAATCATAAAAAAAACGAAATCTTTAAACACAGTCCTAAAAAATAGTGTTATTTTACTAACTTAGCATTGCAATTGTAGCGTTCTTTGACTGCAGAAAAGTAAGGCTAATACTATACAATATAAGCTGCGTAGTCGCCGTCGGGTCTAAAGCAAATAATCTCACTGAATGCTTTCCGAGTGGTGTAGTGTAACGTATGACTAATATTTGACTACAAGCCTGTCCAAATGCCTACCAGGCCAAACGATAAGCAAATTTTGTCGGTAATCTAACTCCTGACCATCTAGCTATACACAAAAAGTTGGTGGTTACTTACTTAATATGCTCACTCATCGCCAACAAGATTTCCACAGTCTAGTAATCGTCGAACATTTCTCATTTCCCGGCTTTATCCGTCAAAGCTCCTTAATTATTTCCAGTTCTCGTTTTTTGTAAATAAGAATTTATTATTTTAAGGTTCGTGTTGCGGATGGCAAGAAAGAAAAGATTTTTCAGTTTGATCAAGTTTTGCCACCGGAGGCCTCAAATGAAGAGGTAAGAGGACAATCTAATCATTTTTGTCTTTTTTTTCTGTAAGAAAAAAGTTAATTATCTGAAGCTATTACATGTATTCAGCCATATGGACATCTCCGTTGCGTTAACCGTTGGAAACAGTATTTTGGTTAATGTCTTGAACAAAGAAAAATTTATGTTTATGGTATAATATAAGAAGTCATACCGCATTTGTGGGAACGTGCTTGGTAATAGGTAATACTTTTGCAACCGGCAGTGTTGCTGGACTGAGGATCTGAGTGAGGGAGTGCTTTTTCAAGTTGACAGGCGTAGGGAGCGGCAAAGAAGTCCGCGCAGCCTGATTGGGCGCCCATATTGAGGCCGAATGAAGCATGCAGTCGCGCTCGAGAAAATCCGCTAGGTACGCGGGCTATATATATTTTAAAATCAATTTCAAACGTTCGTAGTAACCGACATAGCACTCTGGTAGTGGCCAATTGAGGTCACATGACATGTAACAAAATATATTTGTTAAAAGATTCTCAGCCACAAAACTGCAGACTCTTTCCTCGGGAACGGAATGAGGTACTCTTGTATTATCATATATCTTCTTGTGTTGTTAGGTGTACCAAGTGGTTGGTAAACCACTGGTTGAAGCCTCTATGACAGGCCTCAACAGCATCTTGATGGCTTACGGACAGACTGGGGCAGGTAGGATTCATTCAGCCGTATTGTCCTTTATCGTTCTTGAAACAGAAATTGTATATTAAAATGATCAAGGTTTCGCTTTGTATATTTAGAAAACAGAATTACTCGCTTTGAAAACAGAATTACTTCCTTGATCCTCCTTCTAAGGATATGAAGTATTTCTTTGACTGGATTAGCTAAAAAAATGATTGTCTTCGATTTCCTGGTACAAGCTAAATCAACTTGGCTTAAAAATAGTCTCATTCTTTTACATCTAAAATTACAGGTAAAACTCACACTCTGATGGCATCTGCAGACGGGTTGACGACTAGTGTGGTGTCCCATGTCTTTGCGCTCATCGGCAAGGACGCCGCTCATTCATATGCGGTAAGTATAAACTGCGTCTGTTTTGAAACCTACTTGGGGGTATAGAAAAAGATCACGTCGTTCTAAAACAGCCGTATTATTCGTTATGCTAAAAAGAGGGGATAAAGCCTTAGCCGTGTATTTGATTCGGCTGAGCCTTGGGAAACTTGCTTAAAACGCAGTGGCATCCAAAATCCCGTCTGCCAAGACTTGGAAGCTATTCCGAAGAGAATCTGTAATTAAGCTATGTTTTCTGCGTGGAAATCAGTTTTAGTCCCCTACAGAGTATATACTAAGGAATTGGAACTTGGTCAAGTAAAAAAAAAGAAAAAAAAAAACGCACGATCAATTCAGAAGATTATAATCCGCTCTCTAATCTCCCCAATAGGTTCTTCGTCCAGTGTGGACTCCTTAATTGTTAGGATTTTCAATTCCGTTTCCGTTCCTTCGAGTGTATGTCAGCTAGTGTAAACCCCAGGTACATTGTGCTTATGCTGGTGTAAACTACAATCTTCATTCTTGCAGGTGACTTGCTCATACTTACAGATTTACCAGGAACGTGTTTACGATCTCCTGGCATCTGAAAAATCAGGAACAGAAGTGTTCTTAAGAGAACATCCAAAGAAAGGTACATTGAGATTATGAATTGGAATAACTCGTTCACTTTTAGTGTGCCAACAGGCTCCCTTCTCCCTTCTGATTCCCCCACTTGGCGGTAACTGGGGCGAATAGGCAAAGCGAAATCTAGCCCAAAATCCGACACGAGAGCCCCTTAGGCTGTAAGTGTCTTTTTCGGAACTCCCGCTTTAAGCGTAATTTTCTCGTTTAGTGAATGCCAGCCAATCTCCCCCCCTCCCCTCCCCCTCGCCTCTGTTGATTAGTTAACGGAAATAAGGCAATTGATTTGTTATGATTTGCATTGTTACGCACTGATAGTTTCCCGCTTCTTTTCGTCCACGAATGTAATTTATTGCTGCCTCCTGTTCGCAAGCATTTTCCCGCCATTTTAAGTTCCCACTTGTTATTATTTAGTAGGGATATCTGTTCAGTCATTTTCGCTGGTAATTTATCAGAGTATTAGTTTGGATTTGGGTATTTCCAATTAACTCTCAGAATAGAACAACTCACTCTAAGAACTTCCTAACTTGTTTTGGCACAAGGTAACACATGGAATCTGTTTACGCTCCTTTAATAAAATGGCTTTTCAGTTTTACATTGATTAAAAGGTGGCACGCTATCTTCTGGTCAACCGCCAGATTTTGTTTCCGTTTTGTTTTGTTATTTTTGTTATTTATTATTTTTTTTGTGAAAGATAAACAACGGTTTTCACAGTATAAAATCGACTGGTTGTAGGAAATAATCTATCAAGAATCGAAGCGTGACAACATAAACGCATTATTCGATTTTAGCGCTCGAACTGCTGTTTCCTATATATTTGCCACCCTCCCTCAGCTCCCACCTGGAAGGCTTTTGGGTTTTACTTAATTTAATAAAGCCCAATTATTACTCCTCAACGACCATAAGGTGATTTTGGTTTTTCTCCATTAGGTGTTTACGTGGAAAACCTATCAGAATATTCGGTGAAGAGTCCAGAGGAGATTGTAAGGTTGCTGAAGTCTGGTAAAAGGAGACTGGCCGTGGCTGAAACGAAAATGAACAGGCAGTCTAGCAGGTTGGTGTGAAAAATAAAGAAAAAACGGTGTCTCAGTAATTGGATGATAATATTCGACCATTAAAAATTTTTTCACCACTCCTAGAAAAAAAAGCTTACATACAGTGCTCGTGGGTTTTTCTTTGTTTCTTTCTTCCTTTTTTTTCTTTCTTTTTTTTTTCCAGCTTCAGCACTTGAATAACAGATATAAGAACTCATCTAGTAGTGGTAAAAGCTTTTGATAGTTCTCAGATAGTTTAAAAAGTGCCCTCGAAGTTTTCCTGTTTTTATTGATCGGAGACAAGAGCCAGGTTTATAGGACTCTTGTCGGAGATTATTCTCTTACGGCTTCCAACAAGTGAATATAAGCCATATTGCCAGCACAATTCACTGTTATTGCGTTTTAATTTTGTAGTAGTGACTCTTGTAACGAATAAGAAAATACAAAGAACAAAAGAGCGCTCGGGGGGGAGGGGTGTTGCTTGGTGCTCTGGCGTGTTATTGGTAAGCTAACTGGACGAGATTTTTCCTTATTTCAGATCCCATGCCGTGTGCTTACTCAAGATTGAGAGACTCAGTGTCCCTCGCCGCTATGGAGGTCTGTCAGATATTTTGTAATTCTGTTCTTTTCTTTTCTAAAGTTTTGTTTGTATCGGGGCTTGTTTGTTTTGAAAGATTGGGTGTTTGGTCTGCACTTTCGCCAGAGTCATTTTCTGTTTCATAAGAGGCTTTTTTTTTCCTCCAGGCATAACAGATTCTTTGAGTAGTTATGAGTCTTACTACATGTCAGGCAATTCAGACGCTGACACTTCAAGCGATAGTGGCTCCCTGGACGCACTCAGTTCTTACCACTGTGATGTAAGTTATATTATTAATAGATCGTTTTTGTGACTCAAAGAAGAGGGACCGCAGTGCATACAACAAGGTTCTTTTAGCACGCAACTTTGGAACAAAAAAAGGTCGTTTCTGAGTTTTCAAACCCTCTCTGGCAAGTTAAGGCCAATGTAGAGCCTGTCCGAGTTACTTGCATAACAACTGAACGTTACTTCTACTCAGAGACTTCGCACAAGCGGCTTGGAGCAACTCGAAAACGGTTTAGCCTGTTCACGGACTGCACAATATTTTATGGAAGGAAGAGAAGGCCCGTCACTGAAAGGCTAACCTTTGTAATGATACGTTGAGAAGAATTTAACGAAAAAATGCATTTTTAATAGTAAGAATGCTTTAAAACTCGACTAACCGTAACCCAGCTGTCGAAAACGAGGCAAATCAAAAATCTTATTTCACAAGTAAATCTTGAAAAGTTCCTCTTTTTCTTTTCTTTCCTTTATTTTCTAACCTTTTTATTTATTTCATTTTTATTTCTATTTTTTATATTATCTTTAGGAAGATGAAGAATTATTGCGAAGAATTACATCTAAGACTCGTGGTCTGGCGGCCGTCAGGGGGAAGCTTTATGTGTACGTGCTTTTTACAGTTATATGACTTATATACATCGATGCTTAATCTTGTCTTGGATCTGAAAGCCATATATGGAGTCCTAGTGTTGTGCCTCTATATTGATGAGCAAGCCCCATCTTCAATTAATCAACACCAACTCATTAATTAGTGCCAACAGCTTCCGATGTATTCACTATTCACTGATACTTATCGCGTTTCAACTGATCAATATTGCCTTCACTTTTATTCCAAGAATTTTAAAGATCTTTAAAAGTTAGCACTTCCTTACGTTACTAATATACCAGTCGAGGAAGTTGGGAAAGAGAAAGTTTCCAAGATCCCGGAATCATCGCCTCTTAGTCAGAGCATGTTGTCTAGCTGCTTTCAAACAATAACAGATAAGATTGCTATGATAACATTTCAGCATAAAAAGGAAAAAGCATTCTGCTTGAAAAATGAATCAGTTTTTCCAGGATTTATCCAACAATCGGGGAGAGGGGAGGTGCGGAGAGAATCTGTACCTAACGAGAGAACGGGTGGGAGAATGGGGAGAGAACTGGGACTGACAGAAATGGCAGCTCCTCCCCTCTCTTTTCTGCTTTCTCCCGCGTTCTCAGACTCCTCAGGGTCAGTGTGACCGTTAAAAAAAAGGAGTTGCCTGCGGAAGAGTTTACTTCTCTAGCTACAGTCTCAGACAAAAATAGTTGGGGCAAAGACCAAACGTTTTTTTTTTTCCTTTTCGTGCTCCCCTTGTCCCTCTCGAAGTTGTTTATCGCGGTTCAGTCACCAAACCTTGTACCCCAACATTGAGGGAACAAGGAGACACAAAAGTATCTCGTTGACTGAGACTGTAGTTTACAGGCAGCTCCCCCTTACATAAGCACAAACAAAAAGGCCCAGATAAAACAAAACGTGGGTAAAATAGAGAGGGACTCGAACATGGAACAACGCTTTGCGAGTCCATGAGGCGATTGACCACACGGCCATGCTGGGCCCGTTTTATTTGCCCTTTCACACCTATTAATTATCAGCTGAAACCTCTCCGCTCATCCGGTAGATCAGAGTACTGTCATATATTGTTACTATTGATAATATACCTATTGTTCGGTTTTAAGTTGCACAAAATAAATTTTAGGATTATCCTAGCCACAAATTTGCAAAAAAACAAACATTTCAGATAACTCTAAAACACCTAGGCCTTAGAAACCCATGATTGAGATTGAAATCTCTCCAGTAGTACATTTCGCATGTTTCTAACCAGTTAGGAAACTGAGACTTCGAATTTTGCTTGAACTTAAGGCTTAAGCCGTATGTGAAGGTTGAAATATATTTGACAATTATCCAAATTAAGACCGTTATTAAGGCGTTTTAAGATTGAAATTTTAGAGAAAATGAGATTTTAACCCCATGGTCCATGACTAGGATCTACAAACCCTGCTTTTCCTTTTTCCTCCTTCATGGTACTGCACATAATTTCATTTTTAGACAAAATATCACTACATATTTTGGTGCCAAAACTGTGAGTGATATTTACATTCATATTTTATCTCATTGATCAAAAGTTTTTTATAGCTCGTAATGGTTGAACCTCACCCAGTTCCTCACCCAAAAATGTGTCAGTGTATCAGACAAAATGCACTACTAAATAAACAACAGGAAGTTCCTTTAACGTCAGAATGTTGGTTGATATTACTATTTTGTTGCATTTCACTAATATCCATCCGATGCCTAGGCTGAAGGCGTTGATTTCCTATCATCAACGATCGAGAAATATCTCAACTACAAATATTCCGAGACATTGAGACTCGAGATAACTGGATTATACACGTTCGTATCAACTTGATAGGAAGATTACAGCATTAAAATCTCATCAGCTGATTGCTACTATCGCCTGTTTGTAGCTGTGATCTGGCGGGAAGTGAAAGAGTGAAGAAAACAAAGGCAGCAGGAGAACGACTTCAAGAGGCTCAGAGCATCAATTCATCTCTTCTGGAGCTGGGGTTAGTAAGTGAAAAATTATAGGCACTTTTTTATGACTAACCCTTATTTTAAGTGTTTGGAAACTATAATGTACGTAATTAATTGTATTAACTCTGTGTTTTTGAAATTGTGTTGACAGAATTAGCTTCTAGCACATTGTTGGCACAATTAGCTCATAATAGGAATTTAATTCCATAGCAAAATAGCAAAATTCATTATTTTCGCTAGAACTAGGCAATGCTGGTAGAAACGGCCAAACTGATGTGTTTCACAGGGAAAAAGAAAATAAAAAGAAATACTTGCAAAAAAAACCGCAGCAAACGGCTTAGAAAAAAAAAATCAGTAATACCCGCCGCGAAGAACTTTCACTTTTGATTGCCAGTCATACTGCGTCTTTAAGTGGTATGGTCGTCAGATAATGTGGGAGTACTGATAAAACAGAACTGAAATTAAGGGCATGATGAAAACTGACTCAATATGGTCAATTTGACGCAACAGCAGTGTGCTCTTCTAAAACCGCTCAGTAACACATCTAAACAGATTTTTCATGTAGTTTGCATTTGATGCCGCGCGTTCATTAAACTAAGTATTACAACTGCGTCCGAGAGGACTGGGAGCAACTATCCGTGGCTCATGGCTGTGACCAATATTTAATTTCTCCTTGTTCAATCAACCAGATAGCTCGTTATAGTACAGAAAGAGATCTTGTAAATCAGTTAAAATGTATTGTAAAGGCTCCTCACCCGTATTATTCAACGGGGTATGACGAGCAGAATGGAGAATTTACTCCTCTATATTAGGGTTAATCTAAAGGATTCACGCAATTCAGCTGCCAATTTAAACGGTAGCACATAATTGAGAAACATCAGGAGCCGCATTAAATATATTGGAAATGCATAAAAAGCTGGGAGTAGTTGTCTGAATACGCACACTATTGCCAAACTTAAACCCTTATTCCCATGGAATTTTCCAAGCCGGAACCTTATTAAGAAATGTTATGTCTAGGATTTATATCTGCTTAAACTAAGTAAAAACTACAAATCATCTTGTTTATTTACATGTCTGATCAAGCAAGCGTGTGACCCATATCGCGTCTTTAGTCAAATGAATACGTCCGAACAATTTACTGACTCTTCAACTGACCACTTGGAGTCGATTTAAGAAACCTAAATGTTCGTCTTCACGCGATTTACACTATCTTTTGCGGTAAAGGAATTTGACTCAACGTAGTGCCAAATGCACCATAGAATCAGTGAATCATTTTTCTAGAACCAGAGATTATCTCTTGTCTAAAGCCAATACGAAGGCGTCGGCTGTTGCTACGCGGGAAACTCGGTACAGTGAAACCTAATAACAAACTATTCTTTACCCCAGTAATAGTACTAAAAAAGAACCTCAATATAACGAAACCGCCATATCATGATAGAGCAAACAATTTTTTCCAGTCCCTTGGCCCTTCGTTGTGTGGAGGTTCCCCTGTATGACGGTGTGAGAAGAGAAAGAAAGCTACTGACTATGATGTCGATGAGCGTAGCTGGGTAAAACACTCCCGATTATTGCAAAGGCCAGCTGCTGCCGGGAGCCTAAAGGAGCAAAGAGTGGTCCAATGTTTGGGCTCGTCCCTGATGCTAACTGGTCGCTTTTTTTTTTTTTTTTTTTTCGGTGGTTCAATTGCTCGTTAAAGTACTATCAGAATTCTAATGTCTAATTCCCCCTACAAAATGCAACTCCAGCCGTTTCAATGCATTTTTAAGATACCGCACAATTAAGAAGGTAAAAGGGTGGGTGAGGCCTGGGGGGAGCCAGTTGCAGCCATCCTACAATGTTTAGAGTAGCAGGAAGGCGGACGCTTTTGTCGGTCACAGTGTTCGAGCCATGATGGAGAATCTTAATTATAATATTGATCTATTGCGAAAGCAAAAAATTCAAAACATGTTTTATTACCATGAATTATCATTCATTGCTTAGTTATCAGAATGCCAACAGACGTTATAGCAAAACAAATTACAAATATTTTGCTTTGTGTCTGAGCCATTGGAGATGACAGATTTAATCTTTTTAGGAATGTGATTCAGGCTCTCTCAGAAGGAACGAGACGTCATATTCCGTACAGAAATTCAGTGTTGACAAGGTTACTGCAGGACGGACTGGATGGAAACTCCAAAACCAGCTTAATAGTAAGTAAAAAGTATTATTTTGCAAATAGTGACCCTTCACTGAACTAGCTATAGAATGTTCTGGTTCGACTTCGAGGTTTGGTGTAGAAAAGATTTTACTGAAAAGAAACAAATTATTCTTGATAATCAACCTTTGTGGAGACGAACTTTCAATTTGTTTTTAAAATCGTTGAGAAGGTATTAAAGTCCTAATCATTTAAAAGGAAACGTGAAAACCTTTGTTGTAACCCAGTGGCCGTTAAGCAGGAGGCCGAAGGGTCCGCTGCCCCCATTCTGTCGGGGATTTTTTTCAAATACATTTTAATTTGTTTAAATTGCATTAAATTTTTCAAGGTTAGTGCTGATATAGGCTCTGCTAAAGCAGCCGCCTATCATGGATCGTGGCGATGAGCGATGAACGATGAGAGACGGCCCTGTATTTTAGGCTAAAGCAGTATGAATAGGGCTTCGAGCTATTACGTCGATCGGTACGCCCGCGGTCTGCAATGAGTCTCCATTATCAACCCAGTAATCTGAAAAGCTTTTTCCTGTCAGTTAATACTTCTTTGATCCTCCGTTGTTTAGGTTTGTGTTTCTCCGTCTTTTTGCGATGTCAACGAGACCCTGTGTAGTTTAAAGTTTGGTTTGCGAGCAATGAAAATTCATAACGTTGCCCAAGTTAATGCGAACGAGGTAAGTACGATGGTTAAGAAAAAGAAATGAAGGCAGTAAATTTTCACGCACAAATTTTGGGAGTAAGTAGTGCTAGCTTGAAAAAGATGAACATTTCCATTCAAGTATTTGCGCATGATCTTTGACCGCTTGGTTTCCAAGGCAACTATCGCGATAGCGTCTCGTGATACCTGCTCACATGAAAGTACCGCATGATTAAAGGTCACTAAAATGGTCTTAAAAGATGAAAACTTGTTGAAAACAAACATAAAATTAAAAACCGGACAAGAGACAATACCTCCGCAATCATTGACCTGAGGTTCACGATTACGTCAATGCCTTTCAAACCTTTCGCAGGCTCCTTAGTGATGACGTCAGATAAGCTTTTCGCGCAAGCTAGAATTTGTGTGCTGTCTTATACTGCTTAAATTCAGTTTGGCTATGCATGAGGAACAAGACCAAAGAATTTTTTTGTGTAGGAAGCTAAGCTCCCTCCTCCCCGTTTTAATGGGTTTGAGTGCGGCCGCCGCTAAGTCAATACATCTGGGAAAATCTGTAATCACGCATTGCAACTGTGTGCTACTGAGTGGCCTGAATTAATATGGTGTATCTGAAATTGAAATGCAAAATAGGAAAACCCAAACCAACTATATCATTTTGATAAATATCGTGAATGGGTGCCTGTTTGGCGACATCGTGAAGAGGCATATATGACAGATAATTTGTCAAATTAGCAATTTATCATGGCTCCTTGGACTAATTCTGATCATGATTTGATCAAAATTATTAGTGTCCACCATGATTTTGCCAATCAGTTCTTTTGCAAAGCAAGCCCGACTCGGCTCAATTCTCCCCAATTACTAAATTGACTGCTTCCCGAAAAAAATGACGATTTAATTTCGGTCAGCCGGGTTCGGTATACAACAAGAACGAAAGCCCATCACTTGTCGAGCTTTACACAGGGCGGCGTCCGACCTCTTACGAGCACATTTGATGTAATATAATATATTTGTATAAAATTTGTGCGATATAAATCGAAATTTGTTACTGCATCTAAATGTTCCATCTGGGATATGTAACTACAGGATATAAGTTCTGCTTAAAAAGTTGTAGGAGTCATGAAAAACCTGTCTATCTTTGGCTACTTATATACTTATTAGTTTGGAATTTGCGGTAAAAGCTGGGCCCGGGGAATCTTACGGGTTAAGATGTGGACAAGGGTACATCTACTTAGCAACCGCCGCCCTCGCAACCAGTCCGCAAATACCGATACAACTACGGCCAAATGGCTTTGCCGCGCCGGCGAAGTTTATACAAAATTCTTAATCTCAGGGTTGCCAAATAAAAGGAGCAAGTTCCAGTAAATTACTTAATTAAAGCAGACCACCATTCCTGAGTGATGATCAGAGCAGGATTCGTTGGCATTAATCTCCGAATCGCACACGGAGCTGTGCACTTTTGGCGGGAACTGGGCATGTTACCAACCCCAGCTGATTTATATGCTTATGATAACCTATGAATTTAAAATTTTAATTTCACGCCTCTAATGTGTTAATGATTACAATATGTTTGTGGTATATATTGATATACTCATGGCTCGTCGTCGTAGCCTCTGTCATTACGTAACACTCGTGTTCCAAGTTTCACCGTGAGTGACCTCTCACCCAAACAGCTGAGAAATTGCAAATTTTATCATCAATCAGCAAAAGGTACAACGTTACGTATGCTTTCAGACTAAACAAACAGTAAGGCATTATCTCTTGCTGTTGGCAATCAGTGAAATCAACTAAGTTTTTACCAAAATTTGCGAGAAATGTAATAAATTTTAAGATGCTTTAGATTCAAAAATCTTTAGAAAAGTAGTTTAAGTCATTTTCTCATAATTTTTTTCATGACGGAAATGACTGAAATGATGGATGGGGTGATGCTATCACTTATTACATATTTCGAATACTGGAAACAAATATGCATTCATCTATTCAAAATGTAGTCCACGAAAGTCTTCCAACTCTAACATAGTATTGTAGCCGAGTTTTCTGTCGTTGTTCGTAAACAACTTACTAAGACATTTGCTTTTCTCAATTTCTGATCAATATTGATATTGCTTAATACTGTCAGCAGACATTCATTAAATGACACAGGTGCCTTAGGGCAAAAATATATATTAAAAAATGCTGATAAAATAAATCGAAGCATTAGGGTATTCATCTTTTAAAAACCATCTGGGTCTATAACAAACAAGCAAAAGGGGGCCTGATGTCTCAAAACTAGATATTTTTGTCCTGGAGAGGATTTTAAGGCAAAACCGTTCTATTAAACTAGATTGGCCGAACGGATGCTTAAACGTAAGTTGAACTGAAGACCCTAGACCCTTTTCCCTGCTTTCAGAGTGGAAAGTTTTACTGTTGTGAAAACATTGTTAGTTATATCATGGCATTTTGGATGAACTCTTCAGTTGTGGCCCTGTCAAAATCCTTGAAAAATACTGTTCTTGAAATTAAATGAAGTCCGAATTTATTGCATCTAGAATTAGGATTTTAACTCCGCTTTCCAGTTTTGCCTGAGGTAATTTTGTAAACTGTCCGGAATTTTTTTTTCTCCCATGCAAAGGCAGTCAAAATACACCAAAAGAATAATTTGCTTATTTGTTATGCAGAAGTAATTTGCCAATGAGGTTTTGTTAGCGTTATTTGAGCGTCAGCTAGTCAAAATTTATTCATTTGTTAAATTAAGGTAATCATTCACTTTATTAAGTGCGGTGTTCGTTGTCTATCGTCTCCAATGTTTTGAAGGATCGACACTTTCAGGTGACGAGTCGCTGCTGGAATGTGTTTTCAACAGATCAAATCACCGTTTTTGTCCATGTTTCTATAAGCGGAAGAAACAAGAATGTGAGAATGTATCGTTGCTCGTCACCGAGGAGTGGGAAGACTGACCGAGATTCGCTACTCTCTTCCTGACGAATCGTCTGCATGTAAGCGGTAACTTTGACTATAGCTCTTTGCGTTAAAAGGTAGCTCGGCAATGAGAAAGGACTAATCAGCGTTTCTGCCATTTGCAGCCATGTTTACCAAAATATGTTTCATATTTATCAAACATCTGAACTGTGCGCGCAGAACCCGGTATTGAGTATTGCAAACAAACTTGACAGTCGAACATTTAAGACAAGTGGCTTGCATTATCAGTAAGGAACTTACGGTATTGTTTGGTTGCTGAGCTCCAAACAAGCTTTCGCCACTGCGCGAAATAACAACATTGGGAATCCGCTGTTTTACAATAATGTGTTTGTACAACTGCATCATGTGTTTCCCTTACAGATCGACTTCGAGAAAATGGCCAAGCAGCTCAGTGAAACATTAGAAGGAAGAGGTTAGTGAGTGGTGAATCTGCTATCTATGTGTAGTTATCATGCACTTTGAGGTTTGTGGAAGAATCCAGGTAGCACAGTTTTCTAATTTCGAAATCAATGAAAAATGAAATTGAATATTTATTTCACCGGTTGAGTAACTTCTGCTATTTTCATCTGTGGAACGCCTGATCACGTCTTTGAACAGAGGTTGATAATGCTTTATTTGTTAATCAGATTTTAGTGTTTTGCGGTTTCGGCGGATTCGAAGCTTAGAGCTATTCACAAACCAACAAAAGGGGTTTCCTTTCATTTCTATTCAGTCCTAAATTGCAATTTAGGCTGCCGACGCATAAAAATAAAGGAAAAACAAGGGAAAAAAAGAATAGATCTAGATCATTTTCAATGCAAACATGCTTTAGAACACACGCCGCGAGCCTTTGTGTACAGGGTAGTTTTAAATAAACACAACAGAAGTTTTGAACAAAATGTTTCAGCAGCTTCACCAGACCTCAGGTCCTTGTTTATATCTCCACGCGTGATCGTATTACCTTACCTGATGATAACATTCGCATATGTATTTTTAGCGGAAAACCCCCGCTGTTTGGGTCACACTCGCCTATCATGTAAAGTGTTTGGCACTAAACAAGCCATTGCAAAGGTTTTTGAATTATTATGCAAAAAGGGGGGATTATGGATCAAGTAACGAAAAGTGAAGTGCAATTATTCTTTATTACAATCATAACCTTAATTTTGTGCCTCCGAAAAAGAGCTAGAAAGCTCTTAAGTCCCACTTTGTATGTTAAGTGCTGTATTGCAATACCACATTATGTGCAGGAGACGCTGTTTTTGAATCTCCGTAAGTGATAGAGCCTTAGATTGTGATCTACTAGCGTGGACTCATTTGCAACATACACATTTTGCCCCCAGCTTTGGCCTTCATTTTCGCCCGCAAATGCGACGGCTGTACGCCTGAGCTGGAAATGAATCTACCCATAGTACTTTGTCCTTCATCTGCAGTCAGTTGCTGCAACAAATTCTTCGGTTGTTTGTCTATAACCTATCAATCGCCTTCAGCGATGATCTTAAGGATATTGTCCTCCACTGTTATGCTGTGAAATTCTTACGATAGGAGTATTGCTTTGATACTTTCCGCAGAAAAAGATGACTGTGGGCGCAGTTAGTGTATATACGTGTACAACAATGTATCAGGCTGAGCGCGCGCTAAGTTTAGCCGATCAACCTCTAAGCATTGGATAATATTGCGTTACTATTAAATCCAGAAACAGGCAATACATACCCTCCTTCTCATTTAAAAAACCACGGGGAGAAAAAAAGACTTTGGTTTATAAGCCATTGTGAGGAAGAAGTCAGTGCCCTCTTTGTGATTAACGGCATATTTCATTGACCATAAATAAAAGGCCAAACTTAATTGTTGGTGTTGCGTCGCTATCCAAGTGGCTACTGTGATGATATATTAACTTGTTAATCTTAAATGACAGTTAAAAAGGAGCCAAAAAAAGTGATCTTTCACGATAGTTTTAACATCTGCTTAATGACCCTCTTAAGTTTGAGAAAATCAGCTTCCATAGAATTCGTCCTTAGGATTAACAAAATACCTGAAATTCTTGGTCGGTTTACGTGCGTGGCATATTTCTTACAATGTACTGGCTCAATAACTTTCATGCCAATATTTCTTTTCATGCCACGAGGAGGATTTTCCAGTAGGATGACGAAGATACAAATTAATTTTACAAAGCTGGACATTTGAATAACCCTTGAACCTCTCGTTTTTCAACAATACCAAAATCTTCCACATCACCTTTAGTTACATATGTATCACTTAGTAATCTCCATCTCCCCGTTCAGAACTCTAAAGCCGGAACATTTAGAATGTTCATCATGGATAAGAAGCTGCTTTCACGATTTTCATTCTCGGATGGTCTGTGAGTTCAACTGAATGATTCAATTTCCCCTATTTCTAAGTAAGCGCGGATTGGGTATTTCATATCGCAGTTGGCCTTTTTCCCTTTCTTCAAAAACATATGCCGGTTAAACAAGTATAAGTTATTGTAGCTTTTGCCAGGGCCAAAAGTCTTTGAGATTCCGGACTTTACTCTACTGTTCTGTCGTTTTAAGCCCAAAACCGCCAGAAAATTTGTTACCTTCCTTCCGAAGGTATTTCCTTTTTTAAATCCATCGTATTATTTCTCACATTGCGGTTCGACCGAAGTCTTCTCCGGCTTGATTTATGAAAGGATGTGGTAAACACTTGTCACTGTAGTATGTAACGCCCTCTTTCCGTGATATAAAAAGAAAACCATTGAACAGTGCAGTGAACGCTCTCTTGACTTTTGGACACTAATATGTATCCTAAAGTTAAAAATAGCAAGCACTATGTAATGTTGATGTCTGGGTTACGTCATCTGTGGGTGTCCTGTGGTTTCGATTTCTATGAAAAGACGCCAAAATCTTTTGGCCAAAGGTTGGGACATTTTCGTTTTGAAAAAGAACGTACTTAAGCTTCATGTTGCTGTTTTATTTCTCTTGAAAGGTTTTCATTCCACAACGGGAGATCTAACAGCTGCCAATCACAGACTTGTGCTAATAACAACATCTTTTTCTTGATAAGAGAAAAAAATACGCTCCTGTTAACGATAAAAGAACCTCTTAAAAAATCATGACACCTTAGCTTGAATTCCTCCTATGTTTAATCTATCTCGGGGTCTTTCTGGCGCGAGAGCGCGGCGTAAAGTTTCTTATCTTAACAACGCACTAGCGATGCTTCTTACTTTGCATTATCTTCATTCAAGATCATCACAGAAGAAATTATCCCCAAATACGCCTCCTAAGCCAAGTACGAAGTATCGCGTGCTGCGAGCACCATAGTTTGACAAACCCTTGTTGCTTTCTGTATCGTTCTTACATAGATATGAAAACTCTTAAACACATCTGATAACAAAAAGGAAATATGTCCACCAGCCACCGCTGAGCTAAAAACAGTTGTAATCTTTTGTCGTCCCAGGGAATCACGCAGCTTCCATGTTTGAAAGTTGTGTTGCTAGGAAAAACATATATTAGGACTGTAGTTGCTTTTCTCGCAAATCAGCTGGCTGTAAGCTGACTAGTATTCTTATCTGTAATCATCTCATATGAATCACGAACACACCTTGATCCAATTGGGAAGTACCGGTTTCTAGTACGTCCGATCGAATTCTTGCTCGGAATTAGCTGTTTTATATTTAACATGTGTACTTATGAACGAGAGAACAATTGCTTCCCATAGTTAATTTCACTTCGTGAAACAAAAGCTCAGTCATTTCAGAGCAAGAATTCCTATTGGGACCTTTGATCTTAAAATTGAGACTCTCGAATCGGATTTTTTTGGACTATGAATTTCTTAGCTCAAGACCATTAACGGCTTAGCTTATCTACTGAAGCGCGCAACCTGTCTCAATGCGCCCGGCTTGGTTAACTCAATATTGTGTGCTGTTCCCTAAATCGCGTGCATCGCGTGTGCCGTAAAATTGCCGGGCAAAGAAATGCGCTTATGGAACGAAAACAACAGACAGGGGCACCATTTAATTCTGCACCGTTTCGTCTTCGAAGAGTGGAAAATTCTGGTCAGAACAATCTCGCAGCAAGCAGAAATGAGGTCATTAGAAGGAGAGAAGCTCTTGAACAAATGGCCAAAGGTATGATAGTGTGCTAGAATTCGCTTTTACAAGTAATTCAAAATTCCTCGCCGCTAACTCTTTTAAGGTAGCGAATCACACAAGGCATACAAATAACATGGTTAATTACTTGTAAATGTACCAGAAATCACTGAGTCTTTTCCTAGCACAGAATGTTTCCAGCGTCGTAAGTCACGGAAGTATCGTGACCGGTCACAAATATTCCCATCATCCGCTGTGACCAAGGCAAGAGCCATAATGAGCTCTTGGCCAAGGCCAATCCAGCTTAAGGTTCAGCGGTATATTAGGTAATTGTACTCGTAAAAAATCTTTCCAGTTTTTTTTTTTGTTTTTTAGTCATTTAGGAATGAGTGCGTTTTATTCCTTCTCAATTCTGTGCGTCTCTCAATATCGCAAATACCTTGAGGGCAAAACTGCTTATCAAAGTAAACAAACCACATATGTTGAGCTTGTTAGTCCATATAAAGGTAAACAAATTGCACCTGTTTAGTTTGTTTATATTTATTTTTAGTTTTTTTCATTTTATATTTGCCAAAGAAGGCAAGCAAAGCACAAGACATACAACAATTAAGTCGACTAAGAAGAGAGAAGGGGATGGGGGAGTGGGCAAGGACTCAGTTAAATCAGCTAAAAGCAGACACGAGAGTTTATTTTGGTTGGCTTATATCCGAAACTCTAGATGTTGAATGAAGAAGTGACACTATCATGTCGTGAAATGTCCCATTCATTTATTCTTTTTTTCCCTTCCTTTTACTTGTTTTCCTTCCACGTGCTGCGTGGTGTCTTTAGAGAGGAAACCTTGGTTACCGCCGCCGACTAAATTTGATATTTTGCGGCAGCGGGGGTGGAAAGCTCTTGTTGTTCTTCTTCCCCACCAACTCCGTAAGAACATAATCACATTTTGTCCAGCGTGATGCGTGTTTTTCGCGTCAAACTGTAGGTCTTCCATAACGTATTTCTATCCAGTCGGTCTTCCTAATCGAAATTTATCAGCTTTGCGCGTTTTTTCAATTCTGGCTCCAAAGGTGGGTGATAGGAAGTAGCACCATGACTGAAATATGAAAAAAAGTCTCAAAAATTAAGCATATAGAGCACGAAACCTCAGTTATAAGGTACATTTTCTAGCGAACTGTTGCACGGCAGTGTTGAAAACAACACGAACAAATTAAGCCTTTGTAGAAAGTGGATGCTCCAAGTACCGTTTTCTCAGTGCAGGTCTGACAATGCGGATATGATATTTATATAGCTTATTTTTGACAAATTGTTATTCATTATTGCAGAACGAGAGTGGAGAAAGCAGAAGTCCGAATACGAGAGTTACATCATGACTTTGGAAGCCGAAAGAGACGCACGGTCAAGACATGATGGAATGGTGAAGGTAACCTTCTGTTTGTTTACTTTCATATACCTCAAAACAGCATTCAGTGGGATGTCAACCTTCGATCTTAAAATCTTGTTATTAAAATACGACGACGTGTAAAGGGTCTAACAAGGTTGTAAAAACAATGATTACACATATGTCATCAGTTCTAAATCCAATTACAAACGAGTATGGTCACAACAGTTATTACTCGATTTGGTGTGCAATGAGTTAAAGAAGAATCTTTTTTTTTTACCCTATATTGGTCATCTGTCTAGTTTTTATTACGGGTACTTTAGATCATGTCGCATGCGAGTAGAAAAGGGCTCGAAGTCCAACCTTAGTTTCAGTAGAAGGAGTCAGGAGTGATCTTTCTTTTTGAAATCTAAACTTGTCAATCAATTGTTAATCTTTCGACAAGACAAATCAGAATTGCTGATACTCCTGACCTGACGAAAGAGTGGTCACAATCCCGATTTGAGCTGATAAACAAGACAAAATGAGGCATATTTTATGGTGGTGGCGCTGCTGGAGGTCTGTGATGTCACCACCAATGGTCGCCATCATAGCCACCATGTTGGATTATACCCAAGAATTATAATTCAGGTTAATACCTCAATAAATGGTAGTTTTTGCGCGTGACATGTAAAATAACACATAAATAAACACTTTGCATCATTTCATCTACAAGCTTTACTTTTATTGTTGAACGAAGTTGACAAAACATGTATTTTTACTCAAAAAGGGCTTGACCACCTGCTAACTTATGACGTCATATCTGGTAAGCGTAGTAACTGACCATCACTAAACTTGTCTCAAAATGTGCGCGAGGGATGAACGAACAGCTACTGAAAACAGGAAAAAGCTCAAATAAACCTCCGAGAGGGCGGTGACACCACCCCCCCTCGTACGTCCGAGGGGTATTGAATGAATTCATAAATAGAAGAAGGATACTATATTTTTAAAAGCCAGCATGTACCTCAGTACTTTACTGTACTGATACAGATCAATAAATGTTTTATTGAGTGAGCAAGATGAAGCAAATCCTGTGGTTTGATTGGCTACCCGGGCCATCTTGCCCGCTCGGAATTTCCTGCTTTGGTTCCACAAGGAAAACGTTTTCTTTTGGCCATAATTATAATAAATCCTTTATCAAGATGGCCTGATATTGGCCTCGTTATTTTTTTGCGTTTTCATTGACCACGACTTGGTCTCGGTCCATAAATACGCAAACATTACTTGGCCAATACGCAGCCATCTTGACCTAGTGCTTGGTTAGTAACGGACATATTTCATCTTAAGGACCGGTTAAATAAAATAGCGTGAGTTTTTGAAAGAGTTACCTTTGCAACCATTCCATTTCGTGCTCATTTTCTGTTTCCTTTGCTCGTTAATCATTGTTTGGCCAACTCAGTGTCCTTTAAACCTCGCAATAAGATTCTCAACGGAACAAAGGGAATGGTTGCAGAAAATTAACACTTAATTCTACGTTGCCGTTTGTTAGCCCAACTGGAGCCAGAACCTTAATCTAGATATTTGCAGAGAATGTTTCTAGGCTTAAAGCTCTCCTCAATTTAGTATGTGAATACAATGTCTCTGGTTAACCCTCAATTATTTGCCATGGAGACCTCAAACTAATCATGACGAGTATTAGGCTGTCCAGGAGGTATGCCCTTCAAAACATAAGAACCTTAGCATCAATTGACAAAGTCTACTTATTTGTACAAAGATTTTGCTTTAACATTCACATACAGCTATCCCTGATATATCCCTGGTATATTTGGCCAAGAAATGCCAAGAACTTGACAATTATGCCCTCAAGAGTTCAAGCACGAATTTTGCCATATTTTGTCTGTTTAAGTGCTGCAAGTATCGTTTTCAAGGTTAATGAATTAAGACCATGTACTTGATTGAGTCAGAGGACAAAACAATTTTCTCTCTCAAGTGAATATTTCAGTCAAGTACATAAGTACTTTAAATAGTGGCTAAATCGTCCATTTTTGGCACAGATTAACTCTGACTCGCTTGATCCTGCTGAGAAAGCCCACTTACCAGTGACCCTAGTAAACGGGTCTCTCAAGAATCAGACCAAGGCGGTGCTGCTTGCAGAACTTGTCTCCATGGAGTTGTTTTATGGCCTGGAAGACTTGCTGAAAGCGGGCCCAACGGGAATGGCTCACGGATTCACAAGCCCTAAACTGTACAGCAGTCTCACTGACAGAGATTTACTGTTACAAAGTGCAGAGACACTCTTAGAGGTAGTGGGAAAATGTATTGTCTATATTCTACTGATTACACAGTAGGATCAGAGGGTTACGTCACTATAAGTGAAACTCATTTAGGCTTTTGATAACCATTTAGTACGATTCTCAAATGGCCCTTATGAATGATTACGCCAGACCACCAAATTTCATCACCAAGCCTCGTTTGTAAACAAAATTCTTTGCATTTGCACTCTTTGTGCATGGGTATTCTTTTCAACTCTACTGCCCTGGGAATCTATTTACGCAAAACGTTACAACATTACAATTTCAAAACGAGGTTTGGTGGTGAAATGTGCTAGTGTGACGTAAACGTGAAAAAGGGCTATTCTAATAAGTCTTATTTTGGCGTATGATAAAAGTTGCAATTCACTTTATTTATTTGAGTGTCAATGTATTTAGCACGAAAGTGCTTATTGGGAAACTATTTTTACGGGACCACAATTTTACTAGGTCAGCCGAGACACGAGAAGTTCTAGCCGTTTGCAGGACAGAGGTAGTACCTTCATTTCTCAGTCATTCAAAGACCCTCAGTGTTGATCCCTCCCCGGAAATAACTCAATCGACCTTCCGCTCCACAGCCAACCGCTGCCCGGACTGAAAAAATCCTGCCTTAGAAACTGAATGGGAAAAAATAGCCTGTTTATGAGCCATCCACTATATGCATGTGGTTGTTATTTTTGGCGTAAACGTCGGTTTGAAAAATAATACCTTAGCTGGCAAGATTAAGGTCCTGGAATTATCCTTTGGCTTCCTTAATCCATTTTCCATTTTTGTTGTTGTTGTTGTTCTTGTCTTTCCTTCTTTTTCTTTCTACCTTGTTTCTTTCTTAAGTTCTTTCTTTGTCTTGAAATTCTTTATACTATATTACCAGTTAACAGAGTACTTCTTCATGAAGAGCACGCTTTCCGATGATGACAATAACACAAACACAGCGCAAAGAAAGTTTGAGGCTCAAGAACAGACAACAGAAAAGCCTTACCGATTTTTGGTTCAAGGTTAGTCAAGAACTTGCTACCTCTTTCCAGGGCGTCGTGGTTGAACAGATTAGAAAGTGTTTTTAGGAAGTCTTTTTCGGTTTACACATTACATCTCACAAAGTACATCCTTCTTCTGAAACTGTTCAAGGAACGGGTTTTAAGGTCAAGTGATAAAGACTGTTCTAGACACCTAATGCGGCGTGTTTAGTCAAGGGAAAAAGGGGTAGACTGCAAAATCTTCGTCAAGCTTTCAATCACATGCACAGCCTAATTTCAACGGCGGGTAAACAAAGGGTGAAGGGGTAGCTCCGTTATTCACCGTCTTGCTGCAGCTAGTTACTTCAAAATATTCCGAGAGCAATTAGTTTTTTAAGGTACTTATATTTGGCACGCGATGCACGGCAACAAGAAATGACGATTAAAACGACTTCCCGCTGCGATTGTGAGACTCGGCAAAGTGCCCAAGTTCCGTTAGGTGGTCTTGTGGAATGGAAAACGCACGAAACACGTTTAGATTCGAAACTCGGCATTTGTGGAACAGTTCAAGGTGTTTTTTTTGTCTCATCCTACGTGCAGCAGATGACTGTTCGTTGTTCACTTGTTTCATGTATATAACAGCTGCATTAGAATAGACAACAAGAATAGAAAAAACACTTCAAAGAATTTGTCTATATAACTCTTAATATCCACAGTAGATAGCCATATAATGGGACTTCTATCTGCGATATCGTTGTTAATCAGCGATAGAGGTTGTGCGATTCGAGAAAATGTGTGATCAGGTTGAATTCTAAAGAAATGGTGCAGGTACAATATAGGAAAATTCATACTTCAATAATCGAGATAAGATAAAGATTAAGATTTGTGAGTGGTTTTAAGGACACCTGCTGTTTTGTTTGCAAATTCCCGTCTATTTTCATTCTACCTGAACGCGTGTAAAAAATTTGCATGATAAAAGACAAGCAAACGATCGATGATTTTTTTGACGGTAGTTGCGTCAACGAAATATAAATGAAGAGCGGACGTGAGTGACAAACCTGAGTTGTGGATATTTCAAATGTTTGTTTTTCCCGGCTTATTTCTAAAACAATAGTCCATCGCATCGTTTACACTTGCTTATTGGATGAACATCAGTACATACACATGTACAAGTGGAATATGAATGTTCAAATCGACAAACTGTAAGCAGTCGCCATATATGGTCAGTATTTGCATATTATCGACACATTTCCTACTTCATGGTATTATGACAAATTTTTACAAGATAACCAATCACGTAATATACAGCTGATCATATTTACTAGTAAATAATTGTGAGATCGCTTCTTTCTCAGGACAAGGCACACTGCACAGCACACCGAGCACCGAGTCGTCTTACGAACGTAAACTACTGCGTGTCAGAGAACGGCTTAGCAGACTAAAGAGAACAACAGACTCAGCTGCTTTGGGTTTTCTTTCTACTTTTCTGGACGCCAAGCTTGAAGAGAAAGAAAAAGGTAAGGACATACAAACTATTTTCTTATTCCTGCCTCTAAGTCATTAGTAAGCGTAGAGGGTGTTCAATTTGGGAGTTCAATTAAAACTTATTTAGAATTTTGCTTTGGAAAATATCAAGTAACAAGGTAAAGTTTAATAATAGCTGGGCGTTCCTCATCTCTAAAACTAACTGCAGGATAAGCCACAGCAGGTCTCCTTAACTGAAAAAAAAATCACTTTTTCTGTAGACAAGTGTTGCACACTAGCGCTGTTAAAAGATTTTTCTTAAACCATGCCCCACGAACAACTTCCCAGTGTTCTCTATTTAACTTTCAACCTCGCCCCGGTCTCTAAGAGGAGAGGTCCTGGGAAAGAGGTTGACTATCTTATCGCGCCACCTTCATCCACTATTTGCAAGCACGTCTAATGAAGAACAATCACAAGACCATCCGTCAATTTCCAAAGAATAAAAGCGAAGTGGTCAGAGCATTATAAAACTGATAAATGATATCGCCCTTAGCTTTTATTTACGTCTGGCGCGCCTGATTAATGATCATACGATAGGCATTAGCAATCGAAATGCAAGAGTAAGGAAGAGAACATTTTAAATTTTAATTTCTTTCCCTGGGCAAGTTGTTGTTTTAGAGAGTGAGAAGCACAAAAGTTAACTAAACAAACATACTGTCTATCTATTTCTGTTTACATATATCAGTTAACGACAGCAAGCTAGCCCACATGATTTATAGGGGAATTCTTGTTTACATTTTTTGCCTCATTAACATATGCTTGTCATTATCTGATAAAGCTAATAAAATAAAACTTTTGAATATTGAGAGAGCAAAACAATTCCTGTTATATCTGAAAAATTTTTTTTCGATGTAGCGAAAAAAAAGATTCGGAGAAATTATTTTTGAGAAAGTGGAAAATTTACAAAGAATGTGCATGAGCTCATTAACATTTTTGCCACCCAGCAATTTCGCAGTTTTTGATAGCCTATATTTCCTTTGTTATTGATTGAAAAGAACTGAAAATTGCTCAAACTGCTCAAATTAACCAGCTCTCTCAATTTTTTAACCTAACTGTATAAACCGTGACGTTTACTAAAGGTTAACTTGACTATGCTAATAAGCAAAACTGTAAACAATGACGTCAGCAGGGATTCGTTTTTCTTTCATTATGCCAAACTGGGCAAGTCATCCAATCTTACCGTCAAATCCGAATTACAAGAGTTGTTGTTGTAATGTTTTTGTTTATTTGTTTGTTTTCATTAATCATTCGCTTAACTTGACAGTAAATACGTTACACTGACTCTGCACTGTAACAGACCAAAGTTAAACTCTAATGACCTATGTTAAGTCATTTGTTTACTTTTTGCAGGCTTACGAGATTATAAGAAGAGGCTGTATGATCTTCTAAAACTCTTGGTTACGTCTCAAGATTCTTCGGCCGGTACGTGTTAACTTGTCAGCGTTCTTGATTTATTGGTTAACACAATTCATGTTTTACTAAACCGCAGAATGACAGTGGTGAGATTAATTCGAGTGAGGTATACGGCGTATATTGTAGGACAAAATAACATTTAAGGCAACTGTTACAATAATTTGGACCGCAGACCCAGTGCTGAATCTCGACAAATCTTACAAATCTCGAACTCATTGTTCCCCTCAGTCTCCCGAATTTCGAAGTTTAAGAAGACTGGACCTAAGGAAAGCTCAGCATTGGGGCTCGTATCCACGTTTTTTTTTTTTTCAACTTTTGACTACGACCAGTTAACGAGAATACGTCACCACCACCGGAAAGAACCTCTTAAAATCCGTAAAGGTGCAAAGTCTAAGAGTGGTTTGTTGAAAACTACGAAGATACTGCTTCGCGAATCGCGAAATTTTACAGACGTTTGATTGGTGGGGCTCAAGTTCTTGACCTCTACCATACCAGCAAAGTTCCGTAAAATTTCGCGGCTTCGCAGAGCTATATCCTCGATCGCTTCAGAGACGCATCACGGTTTCAAGCTAAAAAAGCTTCAGTTACTAATTTTAAGGCGTCATAATATAAAAGGACCAAATCCTAATAAAGAATCTAATCAACTATAAATTGAAATACCGAAGAAAAGAAACCTAGTCATTGTATGTAAGACCCTGAAGAAGGAAGGCCGTTCCTTCCGAAATATTCTTGGTAACAAAAAATATATATTCTCGACTGTAATATCAGCCTTGCCTCTATTGGATATTTGCAAACCAGCCTTTATGAAAGGTCTTTTCTTCATAACTTGTACATTTAAAAAATATTGTTTCGAGCGTTTTAGATTGTAGAGTCATTATAGTATAGTACCTGTTAAGTTTGCGAACGCCTGATATGGTCGACGTCGCGTTCAAAGAATGAATATGATCTTGATTAATCTCCATCAATATGTCACTACACAAGGACGTAAAAAGGCTGTAGAACACATGTTGTTTCTGATGAATTTAATAATTGATTGTCAAGGTCTTTAAATTGGCTAAGTGCTCACTTGACCTTTCTATGTCATTTCCGTTATTTATTTTATTTTTATTTTGTTTTATATTTTTTTTTACTAGTTGACAAACTTTTAGCTGAAGATTCTAAGAATACGCGCGGGAAAACAAGAAATTTACTTATAAAAACCTGAGAGCTATAATTAAGTGGAAAAAAGAACTTTAAAAGTTCAAAAATAGATTACAAAATAGTTGAATCAAAAGTGCTTTCTCTCTCGTTTGGAAAATAAAGGGTTCTTTCTAGTGGCCATACATAAAGTCTGGTTCCTAGGTTTTGGAGCACTGCTGAAAAGCCTTATCAACAGCGTTTCAGGACTAGGGTCTTACGCAGACTGGGTCTAGCTATTGTATTAATACCAGTGCTGTGTGCTTAGAATACATGCAGTCTTTCTCTGCGTCTAGCTAAATGAACGAATTGAGAGGCAAGCGCCTATTTATAGGGCAATGATAATGAAATTCGACTACGGTGATAGGGTACAGAAAACGTTTTTCTTGTAAATAATGCTACCTCAGTGAGTCCAGCGCTTTTTGTCACTGATTCGATCTCTTTATATTCACTGTGAGTAATCCTGAATGCTGTATGCAAAAAGGCATTCCTATTACTGATGATATTAACGAACTATAATCATGTATTCTCTACCAAGATGACGACAGAATCAACTCTTTGAGGCTTGAGCAATCCCTTTGTCATGTGCTCATGGACAAAGCGCTACTGAACTGCATCTTGCTATTGGACAAGGCCGACATGGAGTCCAGGATGAAAACACTAGCCGTGCCCCAATCGCATTTTGACTATTCAGGTATGTTTCATTTAAATTGACACACTTAAGACTATCTTAAGGCTCAACCCACGTTAAAATGACAAATACAGACGTCCGCATAAAATTTTAATGTGTGATTATATGTAACAAATTAATGCAACCTGTTTTTGTAACATTGATGAAAATCAGTGTTGATCGTTTTACTACCCGCACAAGTAACTTGGTGTACAACATCACTTCTTCGAAAGTGAAGAATGATCATCGCAGTAAATTTTCCAATTTAAGCAATTGGAAAGAAGAAGCCTGAAAAAAATCAGGGCTTCACATCATTACTTCTTCGGTTCAGGTTGCAATTTTTGCTGCGTAAATTAGACGGCTTTTCTATTTTCTGAAACAAGTAGCTGCAACAAAATTGTTTCGCAACAAGTGAAGCGCTCGGGTGGAAAAACGAGAGATGGGTGTTCAAATCATGACTGTGTCCATGTGTATTTCTAAATTGCACTCTATCATAAACTACGCAGACACACTTGCTTCCATTTGAAGTTCAGTATACATGTCTTATTCATCTGAAGTGACGTGTACATGCATACGTAATCATTGTTCTTTCAGGAATTATCAGTATGACACCCATACAATTTGATTGTTCGAGTCAGTCTAGCGATGACTTTGTCCCTTCTCCACCCCTCTCAGGAACAGGGCGCCTGACATCTGTTGACGAGGGTGTGGTACTGGAGAGCTCGAGTGACAGCACCAACAGCCGCGAGAAGCTAACCTCACACCTGGAAAACGCAACGGAGGAGCTGGAAGCGGAAAACAAGCGGTTGTACGAAAGGAATGAAGAGTTACGAAAACGACATCTACAAGTAGAGGAAGAGAAGAGTGAACTAACACTCAAAGCACTTGAACTCGAAAGAAATCTTGAAAGAAACGAGAAGAAACTACACAGTTATAGGCAGTTAGAAACGACCGACATGATCGATTTGCAAGACAAAGTGGAAGAGAAAGAATTTGAAACATGCGAGTTGCTAGCGCGCGTGGAAGAACTCGAGGATGAGCTTCAGGCGAAAGTTCAAGCCACCAGTTTACTTAAAGAAAACGAGCGGCAGCTAAGAGGGCAGCTGTCTGAAGAAAGGAAACATTTTGAAGATCTTGAAGAGCAAAACGCGAAATTGAAATTGAAATTTAAACATCTCGAGGATAGATTTGAGGAAAATGAGCTGAAACTTGCTTCATACACAAAGTCAGAATCACTCGATAGTAACAAAGTTATGAAGCAGTTGGAGAGTTTAATTGCGGAGAACAAAACACTTAACTTAAGAATATTTCAGCTTCAAGGGGAACTAACAGAAAAGAGTGACATTTCATCCGCAAAACAAAATGAAACAGGGGACTTAAAATTCACCGAAGATCAAAACAAGAACTTAGAGAGAAAAATCATTGATCTTGAAGTGAAGCTGAAAGAGCAACAAGTAAAAATTCTAAGTGTCAAAGAATATGAACGTAGACTCCGTGCCGAGTTGTGCAAAGAGATGACAAAGAAGTTAACTAAGGCTCAAACTCGAAGTCGCGAACTTGGGGAAAAAATCCTTGAGTTAGAGGCTAAGCTACGGGATGCAGAGCAGCAATATAACACCGTACAAGGCTTGGACCTGAATACGAGGAGTGCTATGCTTGATGATATAAGAGCGTTGAAAGACAAGCTACAGTATTCTGAGTCTCGAAATAAGGAGCTCAATCTCAGCGTTCAGGATGCTGAAGAACGCCTTCGTCTTTCACAGAGAGAAGTGCTTTTAGTGAAACAATCTGAAATTGACTTGCGAGAGAAGGTTCAGTTGTTAGAGTCGGAAAACTGTAGGATTCAAGACAAATTACGTACCTCGAAAGAGGAGAGAACAACCCGCCCTCCCACAGGTAGGACTGCAGATAGACTTGAAAAACTACGAAAGGAAAATGCAAACCTTTCCTTAGAGCTGAAATCTTTCAGGGAGAACATTTTAAAACTAGAAAGTGATTTGCTAAGAAAGGACCAGGAAATTCTTACCCTAAGAAATGAATCGGTGGACTTGTCAAGTGAGCTGTGCAAGTTGAGAAACGAACTGGATGAAGGCGTGAAAAACAAAACTGATGAACTAAAGAAATCCTCGGAGGCACAAGCGAAACTTGCTTCGAGACTTGCTTTATTGGAAAGAGAATTGACAGAACTGCGCAGGAGCAAAACGCAAGAGAGCGATCGAGTGGTTGAGGTAGTAGATGGTAGAAGTGATTCCACAGGATCAACGTTGTTAATTAGCGATGTGAATTTCGAACTTGCAGTTAACTCTGAAAGCACGGAATCTTTTCTAGAAAAACCGGAAAACTCTGATTTTGTTGGCGACTCACAGATGGACAGGAAACAACTTTTGAAAGAACAGAAACAGTTACAGATCGTTATTGGCGAGCTTCAAAATGAAAAATCTAGAATGGCGGACAGGAATGAGAAACTCCTCCAAGACCTGAAAACTCTGGAAGCCAATTTGTCAATTATAGAGAGCGCATTTCGTTTATGTCGTTCAGAAAATGAATGTCTGCAGCAAGAGGTTAATATAAAGTCGGCTGAAGCTAACACCGTTAGAACGTATGCTTCTTTTTGCAGCGAGAAAGCAAATGAACTTCGGTCGGAGATGGCCGCTCACAGAGAAAACGAAGCCTGTCTGGAGAAGAGATTATCCGACTTAGAGAAGGAATCAGCTCAAGTACGAAATGAGATGGGACATGGGATGTTGGAAATGTCAGAGCTTAAAGAAAGGAAAGAGTCGGTAGAAAAGAAAATTGTGGATGCGAGCCGTGTTGTTGACCATTTAAAGCAAGAAATTGTCGGTCTTGTCAATGGCATGTTAACATTGCAGAGAGAGCTTAATGTCCACATTGATAAGATGTTAGATTGTCTTGGATTAGACGAAAAAAGTGTTCAACACTTTAGAGTCAGACAGCTATCTGCGGGCTCAAATGATATCTCCACACAAACTGAGGAATCAGGCAGCGAAGTAAGCAGCGAACTAAGCGAGGTATTTTTGAGTAGCTCGCCATTTCCCTTCCGCCTTCTGCCAGACAAAGAAGGCTTTTTAAACCCTTCTGATGTAAGTGTCATACGTGAGAGCAAAACCGAGATTCTTCGCCTACAGGACGAGTTGAAAGCTAAAGTTCTTGCAATTAAAGACCTCCTGAATTCTAATAAAGGCAGTGTGGCAAAAGTTGATGACGAACGTAGTGGTGAGGTTCATGCTAAAGCAGCTCTTGGAATTTTGGCATTCGGTCCCAAAAATACGTCTGGGTTACCCCGACTAAGCAAAGCTGAACGCGTGAAGCTTTCGAGTTTACTTTCGAGATTAAAAGAAGAATTAGTCCGAGAAAGGAAAACAAATAGCGATGGCAGAAGCAGTGGAGATGGAAACGATCTTTGCGTTCTTTACGACAATTTGGAAAGCAAGCTGTCGCGGCTTTCCTGTGAGCTTGCGACAAAAGAGAATGAGATCACGGATTTATTAAGTGAGAGAACACAGCTCCAAAATGAATTGGAGGAGTGCGAGAAGGGTCTTTCGGTTTGCCGGCACTGTAATTGCAAAGTTTCGCAAGAGCTCGAAGAGAAAAGAAAACGACTGGAAGGAAGTCTTCTTTCACAAGCCCAGGACACCTCGCGGCTTGAAAGCGAGATTTGCGAGTTCATGGAATACAGGCAAAGACTTGAGGGGGAGTTGGATCTAATCAAAGGCCAGATAACTAACCTGGAGGACGAGCTTGATGTTAGAAAAATATTAATCGAGAGATGCATTGGACCGAGGCCCGAAGGAGACGAAAGGTAAAATGCAGCTAATAGTAGCTTTCAGGATACCCTGTTGCCTTCTAAGGAGCTAGGCGAAAAACGTTTCGTTGGGTTTACATGCAGAGGTTTCGGTCCGTGTGATGCCTAAGTAGAGAAGGAATTAAAGATGGCGGGCGTCAATAACAAAAATGCAATTTGGACCCTTCTGCTCTTTTTACTGGCGTTAATAACAACCTTTCAGCAAGATTATTACAATAATCAGCCAGTGGTAACGCCAAACGAAATGGACGGCCTTTATTGCCTGCATGATTAGCCACTGAACGGCCCGCTGCGATTTTTGTCTGCCTGGTTTGACCCCAGTACTAGGATCTTCCTAACGAAGGCAGTTCACCTGGTGCTAGGATCTTTCTACCTCTCAGCTAGGAAAATCCTAGTACCAGGAAGATTCTAGTGCTAGCCAAGTACAACCCTTTGCATGTAAACTGAATACAGAAAAAATATGGCGCTAGGATGATCCGCCCTTGAGGATTTTACTGGTGCTTCCTCCATCCATGTAAACAGCCCCTAAGTGTAGATGAAGGACTGCGGCAATAGGGAGAAACAGCAGAGACGGTCATACGAGAGCTGATATATTTGGCGCGGATGACAAAAAGCAAATTTCTCACTCCCTTTTTTCATGAATGAATGCACTCCCCGTCATGTTAAAAACGCAGAGCCGGTAAAAAGCGGCAAGCAAATGATAAAGGGCGGGAAAATGGTCAAGTCGCCATCCCTCTCTTTGCCGTTTGCTTAAACGCGATGCTTTATGTGCCATCACTGTAAAAGCAGTTATCACGTTTGATTCATTAACGTCCAGGAAAACAACCATGGACTAGGAGCACTATAAGTACAGAGATGTCATCGATTCTCAAAAGGTGGTAGAAACCAAATTTCAGTGTATGTTTAGTCGAAGCCGAATAGTGTTTGTTTTCGGTGTAATACTTCTCAAAACTGTTGAATTGCATTAATAAATTCAGGCTTGACATGACATTGCTTTACCATGATGATATTAAATAACGATTTCATTTCTCTGTTTTTTATCAAACGTACTTTTCTTTCAAAATAGGGAAATTACAAACAGCGACTCATCTAAAGATGAAACTGACGATTTCAAGCCAAGTCTGCCTGGGAAAAAGCGGAAGTCTCAGAAACGTGTGACGTTTGAAAACATCGACAGCAGCGAGACAGTGGAAAAATCCTTCAATAAACGTAGACGACAGAAATCCGACATTCTAAACGGTCAAGAAATCGAAGAGTTTCATTTAAATCCAAACCGTTGGAAGGAATCTGACATGAACGCGAGTGACATTGACCTTTGTGAGCTCCTAGCATCAATCCCGCGGGATCTCCCGAAAAAAGCACCAACCCCGGAAGAGCTAGAAATCTCTAATATGGCAAATAGACTCTCGGGCTACGATAACATGTCATTTGAAGATAAGATTGAGTATGCAACAATAATAAGGAAGAGCGAAGCAACCGGGCTTGAAGGGTCCAACGAAGCCCAACGTGTTCTAATAAATGGAGTTGATAAGCATCATAAAGGCTCTAATGAAGACGGTCGGGCTGATCACGATGATGATGGGCAGGTCACGTGCCAAATGTGCGGCTTGTTTAGGAAACGAAACTAGTTTAGCCAGTGTGTTTTGTCAGTGGCGAATTGTGAGAGCAATGAGGTGGACTGGTGAATAGTATTGAACAGTGCTTGGTGGTGTGGGAAAAGAGGATATTACTTAGCCGCAGGAAGATAGGAAATTTCTTTTCGAATGCGCGAGAAGAAATTTCTTATCTACAAGCGGTCATGTAGTGTTCTATGTATTATATAAACACCGACTGAATACCCAACTTTAAGATTTTTCTCGCTCCGAAAGGTGAGGTTTATTACGTAAACAATGAGCAACGGTGATTTTTCCACGTGTAGAAATTATAGCCGGGGTATTTCATTGGTGTGTATATAAAAAAAAACAATAGCCCACCTTCTTCAATACTCCTTCATGACTGAAAACGCAATGGTGCGCTATCACATGTATGGAAACTGGGCATGTCCCCAAAACGCGATCTTCGCGGGGCACTTGACATGGACTCGATGTTTATGCCTTAGAACGGTTTCAGTTCTTATGAACTTAATTTCCTACAGTGCACTTGAATGAAAGTAGGTATTATGATACCAGCAGTATGGTAAGTTCCTTAGTGATTTAATTAAGCATTGAACTGATGCCAGTAACTATAAAGAAATGAATTTAGTCTGAATGTTTATTGTAATTTATTAAGAAAAGTTTAACACATATTTAACGGAGCAACTTATATTATTATGAGTAACTTACTTGAATGTAAATTTACATGTTATATTTGCAAAAGCAAGAAAAATTCGTACAGTCGAACAGTTACATTTCAAAGTAACAGAAACAAAATAGTGATAATTATTGATTCAATTATATACTTTTGTATTTCAGTTATACTTTAACGTAACTATATAATTTATAGAGAATACTTCATGGAAAGTGCTGGCGTACGGTATTTAAGCACGAGTTATTGACGTATCAGAAATCGAACGAGTGAGCGCAGCGAACGAGTAAGATTTCTGATACAAACACAACGAGTGCGTAAATACCGTACAAAGCACTTTCCATGTGGTATTGTGTTTATTATGTGCATACTGAGACATTCATCATTTGGGGGGCCTTTTTATTTTAAATCTTTCAAAAGTGCTAAAATTTGCCGCTACACACTACCACAAAATGACAACGAAAACGAAGTATCAGCATTTTAGTAAAAACGTTTGTTAAAAACATAAATGACGGTGAGGATATGAGGTAATCCAAGAACTATAAGTAATCTTAACTGTTTGTTCTCAATGTACAATTGAAAATGAGTGAATTTAAGTAAAATGGCCGGTTTCAATTTTAAGCTTAAATCATAGTTATTAGAGGAGACTGGTTATGAAAAGCGGCAAACATCAATGATAAAAACAACAGTGCTGCAGTTTATGTTGGAAGCACCCTGAAAGTGCACAATCCTTTGTTTTCTGTTGGCAAATTGTTACGGAATAAATTAATGCAACGTTTTTATTGGTCAATACAATCAAAATGATAGGAATTCTTTTGAACGTTGTGCACTTTCAGGTCCACAAAAACATATAACAAATGAGTCTGACGGGTTTCATAACCATTCCACTCAATTAACTATGCTTAAATGAAAGGCAAAGTAGCTCCGACAAAAAGCACAACAAAAGCTTACGTCTCGTTCTGTTTATCCCTTTCCGCTGTTGTTTCGCCGGCTCTCTACCGTTTTCTTTATCGACAGTGAAACAAACGAAACTATTCTCATTTCCGAAATGTTTTTCACTTTTTTAGCGAGAAATACTCTTTGAGTACTAAAAAAACTTTTCTCGTTGAATGTGTGCGAAGCGGCGCTGCTGCAATAAAAGGCGAGAATTTTGGCGCGAAACTCACACACCTCTGTGGCTTCTGATTGGACGTATCATTTTTCTCACACGTGAAAAAACATCGTTCGTGATTCTGATTGGACGTATCATTTTTTTCACGTGTGAAAACCATCGTTCGCACCTCTGATTGGCTAGAACTAATTTGCGTACGAAAATTTACGACATAGCTTTTTGGTGAGTATTTCTCAGTATGTATATAATAATTATATTTATACCATTCCAATATATGTATGTGTAATCAAAGGCGATGGAAATTATCAGGATTTATACAAAAGGGAAGTGAAATTATTTCCTAATTGCACGAAAAGTTACCATTTGATGATTACGTATTAATATCGCAGGTGACAAATTACTCTTACAATCGATAACTCCAAGCACTGAAAAGTCCAGAACATAAATTTTGGCTTAAGTTGACAAGTTTCTGAATTTTTCGACAAAACGTCTGTTAGAATCCATTTTGAGGTTGTCTTTCTTATTTTTAGGTTTTGTAAAGCGTCTTTTGCTGCTGCTGCTTTTGCGCTGACATCACCATTCATAACATTTTTCATCATTTTTCTTGGCACTGAGACGTAATTTCGCGCCAAAATTAAGAAATAATTTGTCACCCATGGTATTGAAAGTAATTTATAGCAGTTAAATTAACCAAGTAGTTGTCTTTGTTCGCAGACTAGCTCCCAGACCTTAATGTTTCGGAAGATTACGGATGGAATTTCAACTTCTAAATGGTCTAGAGAAAGCCTGCGAAGCTGGCGGGATTAGCGGGCGAATGCTGTAGTTTTTGTTGGCCTAGCCTCATGAAGACTGGGAGCTAGTCAAATTCGCGACTCGCTTCGCTTGGCGGCTCCGCTGCTAAGAAAGTACCCCAGCATAACAATTCCGTCAGCTACGCAGGCTAGTCTAGAAACAAGAACGTTAATAATCAACGACATGGAGACGACTCGTACAGGCTAACTTAATGGGAAAAAACTATCCGATCGCAATTCCAAATTATGCTATAAACTTGCAAGTTATCTTGAACCTTTCTATATTTTTGTGTTTTATTTATTGTTTGTTTGTTTGTTTGCCTAACCTTGGAAGCCTAGTTGCGAAGAGTTGATATTACAACAAGATAATTTCCGGGGTCAATATAATATGATTACGTTAAATTTCAAAAAGGCTGATTATTGTCTCACCCCATGTAAGCGAATCCAAGGCAGTCTTGGAATCTTGATTCCACGTCGTGGATTCCAGATTTCAGGTATTGGATTTTTGATTCTGGATTCCAATCTTTATTGGGATCCGGATTCTTTACGCCCTATTCTGGATTCCAAAGATCAGGATTCGGGATTCCACCAGAAAAATTACCGATCCGGGATCTGGACTCCCCTACTGGGGCGAATTGTTGGATGAGGTTGAGAAACTGACTCACACGGAGAGTAAAAACAAAAACAACGGTTAATGGCATGTTGACAACCTATCTGAGACAAAATAATTTTCGAGTATTGCATCAATAGCGATTATATATTTATTACCCTTCGTAGTATAATACTGTAAAAGATTGTAGTAACGTATACATTGAATAACAACACACAAAAAAGAAGAAAAAAAGTTGTAGTCATATTCAGTTCAGTTATTTCTTAAGAGGTCGTTCGGTGTCTTCGAGGTCGAAATATGAGGTCTCGTACTCCCGCTCTTCTACTTCTTCGTAACGGTACTGAAGATGAAGATAAACTCGTGATACACCACTTTAAAATTAGCTACAAAGACACAGAATGGCTGTATTGCTACTTCGTTCTAAGAAGTTAACTGTAATTGTTAAATACGGACGCAGCTACTATACGCACGGTCAATGAATCAGTCTTCGAACGCTTATGCTCATCAGTAGACCCAAGGGGATTCTTAGTTTTTGGATTTGAAAACTTCTGTAACATTTTGCTTACTTCCCTTACCTTCATCTCCGTCTAAGCGATCACCTCGCTAGTAGATACCTACACCAGTTTGTCCCTGCATTATTTACGTAGTCAATAATAACTCTCTATTAGTCGGGGCTTGAGGGTATGTTCTTGCTATGTCAAATCTGGTACCCAGATCTCAATGTCGTCTGTCGGTGGCGGTGGTCTGTTTGTAGGCCCGATTGTCAGAGATTTGGTTTCAAGGCTGCACAGTTTCCGTCTCAGAAACAGGTGACTGTAGTTTTTTTTTTTTTTTTTTCCCTAATTTATTCATTGCTCTTGGATCACCAAGTAGTCGTTACCTTATAAAAAGTGAAGAAATTATGAAAGGCTATCCACTACCATCAAATGAAAATTATTCAGGACCAAAAACATTTAATTGTAAGTGGTTTTCCTCATTTTTTATCAGGAGCATCTATTAAATAGAAATGGGCATATATTTACTCTTCATTTAAAACTAATGATGAGTGACCCTTTAGACTTTCAACATGACACTAACCCCAAGGGGTGTGTTCTGTGAGGTATACGTAGACTGACTACATACATTGCGTTTTTTTTTTTTTTTCACTCATGAACTAAAAGCTGTAACTGGAGGTACCATGCTTAGCTCTTAAAATGAAACTCTTTCGCAATACTGAAAGCCACGGTTTCGGATCAGACTACCGGGGTGTTGGCCTTGACTGGAGCTGTTCAGCTCACATAAGTTCTCGCCATTTGATGCTGAGTCGTAGTTGTGTTTATAGTTATATGACTTACAGCCCGAACCATAAATTAAACAGTCAATTGCACAAGCCAGTTCATTCTGAACCAATCTGATTGACACCCGATGATGGACTAGTTGGTGATCGTGCCTTCGCACTCGGCAGCGGAACTCGGCATTTCGAAACACATTACCTGTAGTAAAAAAGGAAATGGGCACCATTAAGGTGGCTCCTTAAGGGTTTGCAATATTTTCAGCACCTTAGATCAATACTTCGATGGTTTTTTATATGATGCATTCCGATGGTTATACAACACATTATGGCCATTCTTGTACACAAAACTGAATTATAGTAGCCACGAGAGAACCTTTTGCAAACACCTAAATTTTAAATCAAGGTTTGCAACTGAACGATATGTTTCGAAAATTTAAGATGGCTCTGAACCGCTTGGATGTTTGATAGAAATTAAATCTTGACGACACAAGTTGCGATTCTACACAAACCGAGGGGTATGATCGAATTTTTTACCCTCCTCTTCCCGGGCATAAGAAATTTCTCATACCTCTATATTTTTTACAGATTAGACCGCATTCCTTGTCGCATTTTCCAAAATACCACAGACCATCTACGCCACGGTGCACGCATGAGTTATTGTTGTTTTCCTCCCCGTAACTTCCGTTCAGTTTTGAAAAACTCCAAACATTTCCATCTACCCAAGAAGGCTCAGAGCTCCCAGTGTTGTTTTGTAATCCGATGTGTAGACATGAGGAGACCTTTTTCTTTTTCATTGCATCTTCAAGGAAGTCATATTCTTCTTGGCTTCCGATGCTGACCAGATTTCCGAGCAATGAGTCGCAAATTCTCTTGGCCTCCGCCCAATTTTGCTTCCCGTTAGCATTGATATGATAGCAGAATTGGAGATTGGCAATCCAAGAGCCACCACATCCTCTGTTTGACAAATGCAGGCCTACCAGAATCATGATTCAGAATCAAATAAGGATTTGTCGGAGGTGTCTTTGGGTAACAGTTCGAGACACTTTATGCAGGACCATTACCAACACATATAATGGGAGATTTAAGATAAGTCCTTAAGAAAATTGTTTGAAAACTCTTAACCTATTGGTTTGTCTTTTGCCCTAATTATGATGTTCTGGAAACCCCTTATCCCCATAAGCCCGAGTGGCATTGTAATAAAAGCACATGGTCAGAGAAATCAATATTTTGTTGTGTTGTTGTTCGTTTCTGACCCTTCTTTTCGAGACTGTTGTTTTTCTTGCCCATCAAGAACGACAGTGGAGTCATAACGTATCGGGGATCCAAAAACGGCCATATACGACGTAATGGTGTACTTGTTAAAACGTTTGACTTCTTTTGTCGCCAAACGGTAGCACAATCCTTGCTTGACATTCGTGCTTCAAATCGCCTTACTAAGAGAATCCAAGACAATCTTGGATTCTGGATTCCACTCCGTGGATTCCGGATTCCAGGTACTGGATTCCTGTCAGTGGAACTTAGATTTTGGATTCCAATTGTTAGTGGGATTCCGGATTCCTTGAGCTGTATTCCGGATTCAAAAGCCCAGGATTCCGGATTCCACAAGCAAAAATTTCTTGGATTCCGGAATCCGGATTTTCGATTCAAAATTCCATTTTCTAATGTCATTAACCTCAATGTTTTTTAAATCTTTAAAGGAGGGGTGGGGAAGAATAGAGTACGGTATACATAATTCCAAACTTGAATTTACTTAATAAATGCAATTGGGTACAAATGGAGTACAGAAAAAGTAATGATATTGTGACATCACTGCACTGTTAGGCCTGTGTTACCTTGCATTATAGTTGATAAATCTTGAATTGTTTTGTTGTCTAAAGCATAATGCCAGATGATCACTCTAGAAAACCTCAAGGAAGAATATGATTGAAGGCCGCCTATTTTCATTGCCCAATCGCAACTGCAACTTGCATTAGCACAAGTAAAATTAATCTCTTCTTTTTGTATATTCTCCAACCTACAGACAGTAATTCAAGAGACAATATCATCAGTGATCGTAGTATTAGGGGAGCAAGTGGCGCAGTTTTGAGAAAAGAGGCGTCCACCAATAGAACAGACGTTAAGGCGCCGTAGATTTTAATATTGATTCAGTCTCTTTTTTGTCCCCAGAGGTTTTTTCCGGATGGTACTCCAGTTTTCGCCTAGCTCTCCTCAAAGCCAACACTTCTAAATTAAAACTTTGACTTGCAACGCTCAAAAAACTTTTTGTTTTTCGCCGTTAATTTACGTCAAATTACATTGGATTCGGTTCTGTATCATATACGGCAAAGACCTCAATACATATCAACACTGCAGTACCTTGTACCATTTAAGAAGAGATAAACGTCACCAGTGTTGTTCCAAGTCAGCGTCACATGATGCCATTCCCTGACACCAATGGTTGCATTCCCACTTACTATGGTCCATATTTTTCTTAATTCCATGCTTTTTATTGTGGCTGCAATTTCACTTTCATTTGTAAGAATAAGGTTAAGCCCACAATCACCGCTACCAAATTCAAATAAACGTTGGAGTGAGTTAGCCTCGCAAAAAGCCACCCAGAATGAAATTGTGAATCCAGTGTGGTTGCAGTATTTCACGTCCGCATAACAGGAGTTTTCTCTCCAGCCTAAATCAATCCATGTGTCTTTATCGTACAGATCGAGCCCAAGCTGAGGAGAGGACCACTTCATTTCAACCTTTCCTGAAAATAAAATCACTTTTATTAATCATTTTTCGGGGGAGGGGCGGTTCCGTTTTGTTTTTGATGTTGTTTGCATGTTTGATTTTCCAAATAATGTTTTTCTAAGACAATTATAATTATGCTTAAATAGTTTGGATGCTCCCTAACTCCTTTGCGGGAAAATGGAGATTTTTGTGAAGGTATAGCTCGAACATCGGTGAAAATGAGGGGGCAGGTAAAATACATTACCTTTGAGTGTTCCATGCCATCTTCCCTGGACAGGATATCCCACGTGATCATAGACACGTGAATACCAAATCTCATTTAAGGGCCAGTAGTGATCGGCCCCATCAGGATATATTCCGTGGGTGGCCGCAACCAAAACAAGAACCTAAAAAATGAAGGATTTTAAACATAAGTTATGTTTTGTGCACAGAAATGGCCTTCTTATTCTTACAAAAAATACTATGAATAATAACTCTCTGCCTCCTTTTTTGCAACAAAGGAAATAGCAGACATCTGCACACAGGCTGATTTGAATGGAATTAGCAACTGGGCTACATATATTGTAGAACTGTCAATATCCTGCATGCAAACGATTGGTAAGGAGAGGTTTCTACAGTAACCAATATATATAGCTAGTAGCTACGCAGACTTCCACAATACCAAGAGTAATATGCCTGCCAGGAGCCCTTTTGTTGTTTTTGTTTTCTTTTTAATGGCGTAGGGAGCGCGCCTGCCTTGCAGGCTATTTTATCTATTTTATCTAAAGTTGGAGGGATATTTTTGGCACTCATAAGTTTCAGCGCAATAATTAATTAATCCTTTTGTTGATTACAGTTCAGAACCCCTATAAATAAGCCCCCTTGGGGACAGAAGAAAGTGGCCCGCGTTGTAGAGAGATTTCAAACAATAGTCAATGTATGGATTTTTTGTCCGCCGGGACGAAAAAAAGTGGCTGTTGTAGAGAGTTGGCTGTTAGCGGAGATTTCCCAGTTAAGGTGGATTTAATATATTATTACACAGTCGACTCTCTTTTATTTCCAGCTCCGGCATTACATGTAGTTTGTACTGTACACAAACCTCCACCGCGATGCATGTCGTTCTTTTCACGATCTCCATGACAAGTGTGATATATCAACACCTCTGATGACGTAAAGATGAACCTTCTAGAAGAATAAGAATAACGTTGGCATGTTGTCATTTGTATACACTGCTTCCCATGGTGTGAAGGGTGTTGGCATCTAAGTAGCTCTAAGTCAATAACAAAATTGAATGATATTTTAAGCTTATTAGTGGGCTGCCTGTGGCAAAGCCTGTTTTAACAGACTTTGCCACTTTAAAAATTTAAAAATGAGGAAGAGCTTTAGTCGAAAAAAGACAAAATCGATGATGGGCCATGCATGCAATAGGGCCGGTAGGGAGAGGGTCAAAAAATTTAAAAAAAAATTCGCCACACGGATTACCCCTCTCCCCCTTGGTTTATCTAACTTGATCTACAAATGCTCTATCGCTATCTTTCTATTTCTTGGGATAGGAGTTGTTAGGACTTTTAAGTGTTAGCTTAAAAGCTATACACTCAGAATAGAAAATATTAGACCACTGCAGTCCTGCAATGTCGTCTATTAAAGAGAAATTATTTAGGCGGGATTCAGGATCAAATATGAGCTGTCACTAGCAGTATGCAGTTGAAAAGTCTTGATCTACATAACAAATAACTGAAATGAGCGGAAGACGAACAGTAATAGGTCGTTTAGATTTAAATGGGCATGAAAGTCCGTGTGAAAACCTATTCATTCAAAAATATTATCATGATGATATATACGTTTTTGCAGAAGTCAGTATATCGCATACGCTCGTATCTGAAGAATCATGGAGGTCTCGGAGGGTGTTATCCACCTAATCGGCTTCGGCTGGGCCTCGGCTGATGAAATAATTCTCCAGATATCGATCATTCTCAGCCTCATCCAATAATTTCATAGAATAGTTAAGTGAACGATGTAAGATAACGATAATAGCAGTCGAGAAAAGGGATACTCACAGTCGAACACGACACTTCTGCTTAAACAATTATAGCTTGAATGAAAGAAAGAAAGAAGAAGCAACAGCCATACTTTCCTCGTAGTAGTCGGTTTCTAATTTTTAGACGTTAGGGGTTTATTTAATTTATGATTAAAGATTCTTTTCCCATAAACCGTGCTGAGTATTTTTAATTTTCAACGTGGAGAGGTAGTCCAATTAAGCGACTACTTCGATCGAGAAAGGTTCGCTTCTGTTTAATCTTATTCAAGGTATATACTCTGTAAAATTTAATAAATCATACAATTGTCATTATCCGATCGTTTGCCAGCTAAGGTGATAAACTACTATCAATACTCGGGTAATGTTTTATATATTGATAGCAAAGATTAAGCAAAATTTGATTTAATAATTAAAAAAGGAATACAAAATGAGGTGGAATTGAAATGAGTAGCTAATATCATTTGATTCTTCAGGAACTGCTTAATTTCTCAGGGTATTGTTCGTAGCTAATCTGATACAGATGCTGCCGGCATCCTGGCATTCCCCTTACGTTTGCTCTAGTACATTTAAAATCGGAATGTGATTTTAAAAAGTTTAATTTTAAACGTTTTTGTACAAATTGGTCATCAGTTTTTTTAATGCATGTGAAGTCGTGTAAAGAAAATTTTACCAACCAGCACCGTCTATTTAATTCAGCATATTCTTCTGTTTCTTCGGTACATTTCACTTACCAGCCAACACGACACTGAACAAAGTGAAAATCAGTTATCTCAGTTTTTTGTAGCCAGACCTTGAGTATCTACCAAACTGAAGATCAGACATACAGTCAAGTAATATGTAATCCATATGGTTGGTTGTTATTAATCAAATGATACGAAGAAAATGAATTATAAACGTATTGCGACTTGCAGTCTATTGTTCAAGCCAATTTAAATAGAATACTTTGTTTCTGCGTCAATTTTGCAGTTCCTTTAAACGGAAAATGAAATGTCTTTCAAACCAAAACAACCCCCAGGTGTTCGCTATTTAAAACGATGTTGTTAATGTTTCCTCTCTTTTTGGGACACGCCATCTGCCTTCTTGTTTCAAAAATAAATTCTTGATAATTCTCACAACCATGTAAATGACAAATATTGGTATCAAATTTTTTTTCTTAACACGCTAGGGAAATTTCCAATTAGTTGCTCGTTAATATTCTCACGTTATTTTTTTCTTTGTTTTCTTACTTTTCTGCCAGTTTCGTGATGATAAATTACCTGAAAAGGGGTTCATGACGTCATCTTAAATTGACCAAACATAGCAGCAAAGACTGATTCCACTCTTTTTTATTCACGTCAGTTTCCATTCATGAAAAAGACAATGATAACGGCACGGTGATCGACATTTCTAGAATCATGAATATAAAGAAGTGTCTGATTTTCCACTTTGTCGTACGTAACCTATCAAAGGCGAATTAGTCCTTAGATGTCAAAACTCTTGGTAGGTTAAGGCGTACCAACAGTCGACCTCCATGTGCTTCCTGCAAGCTTTGGAGTCCTTTATCAAAGCATCATTCTTATGAGTGAAGAGACATTTTCGGAGTTGATTGAAAATGGGCAGCATACTCGTGAAATAGCGTACAAAGCTTATTTGGTAATAAGGTCTTCTTGAGGGCGCCTTAGAAAGTAGCAGGGCATGCGGGTTTAAGCTGAACAGAAGGAAAGAGAAACGATTAAACTCAAGACAGTCCAAGTATGATTTTAAGACAAGACTTTCGGAAAGAATCGAGTTGACGGCAGAGATCGGACCCAGAACGCACAACCGAGGGTCTCAATGGGGTTAACCGTCATCCGTCAAACGGCCTAAAATTTAACTGTCAACCGTCAAAAATGCTGTTTAATATTAACCGTTAAAAAGATTCAAATCTCCCTATTTCAGCTGGTCTTTACGGGATTCTGGTTCCTGAAAAAATGGATCTCTAAACTGGAAAAACAGGCAAGTACCCATGTTTACAAAGGGTTTAGTTTATCTGCTCACGATTGTCCTTTGATTGATCGCGTCGTTTCGACAGCACACTGCAGGTCTTCATCATCGACTTACTGAGTCGGACTATTTGTACCACCGTGGTTGTTAGTGATTGGTGCATCACGAACTTCGCTCATGGTTGGGGGGTTTCGATCCAAAGTATTGTTTGTATTGTCAGAGGAGGAAACTGATCCCTCAGCGGTAGTAGCGATCGTAGTCGTAGCGAGCGGTAGTATGCATGAAAAAAAAAAAAACAAGGCGAAGAGATCTATTCATCTAACCAGATATATAACTCTTGCGTAAATATAATTAAATTCATGACCAGCGGTTTCTCTTGCACTTAATTGTTAAAATGTATGGCTTGTATTTTTTTTTCTTTGTATTATCAGGTAACTTGTAGTTATTTATATTTTCTACACCCTGACTGCATTAAGAAAATAAAACTGCTTTCATTTTCATAGTGGAGGAGTATTAAGATATCCAACTGATATGCTAAATAATCCTCCAAATATGCTGCTGAGAAACGCTTCATTTTCAAACAGGCATTGGTTCCAAAAACGTTCGTTTGGGAAACTAAAAAAGAGTTCTTATTCCTTCTGAAAACATGACACAACGCTTATCATATAATTTCGTAAATCTTCAATGAAGAAAATGAATATGCTAGAAATAAAAAGAATTAGCTTTGACATAATTTTGGAAACATTCGATAAAAAATAACATGGTTGATTTCAAAATAGTGCGTATTTCTTCCAATCATTTATTATTGATAACTTGACAATTTGGCAAGGTACAAGATGGCTAATTGATTGTTTTGCAAATTTCTTGGTAACGACATGTTATCTCCGACAGATTTCACGGGAAAAGTGCTAACCAAACATCGTTTTATCAACTCAGGTTTATAAGTGTTTAAAATGTGTGATCGAAACCTCTTTCTTTTATGTTGGATCATCGTATATATAACCAGTTGATGAAAAAATCTTTTTGTCGATATTGCAGCGAAACATTAAGATAAGGTATTATTATTGCTTCCATTTTTTTTTTCTTTTTTTTTTAGCCTGAGAGGATCTGTTCTTGTTAGTGCATTAGTACATGTATGCGGGTTTTCTTTCTTTTTTATTTTTGAATATTGCTTGATTTTCTTTGACAGGACTTTAGAATGGCTACCAAAAATCTTCTGGTGATTCTTGTATTGATAGAGGCTTGTTCGTGCAGCGAATTTTCTATCACTGGCAAGCGACATGAAAGGTGAGTTAACGGAAGCGTGCTAAATATTCCGATTTGTTCACTATGCAATTACACACAAGGCATCTTTAGGTCAGGATTAATGTACGTTCATGGTGCCTACATGGACATCGATGAAAACTAAGGAGCTATAATCTTCCTTACGACGCGATGACTTAATATCACAAATCAAAAATGTCTAATTGTCTCGTAGTTGTAAAAATCTCACATAAACTAAGGGCCCTTAACTGGGTAGCCGTGTAAGTGAAAGCACGACGGTGAGACGAGCTTTCGGATGCTGTGCTTGGTTCATTACTTTTCAAATCACTGAGCCAACTTTTCTTACACTCTCACTACGAAAGTCTTAACCAGAGTCCAAATCAGAGCTCTCAAAAGAATTGTACGAGAAAGACTTAGACTTAGACATAGACTGAAAGAAATGAAGCTTTTTTAAAAAAGGCTAAAAACTATCAATTCTGAAATTAACATGAAGATTCGTTTTCATTTTTAATCCTTGGAAGGACTGACACGGAGGTGTTAAGTTTGCTCCCTTTTGGAAATTACCGAGAGGTTGTTATTTTTATATTTATTATTTTTATTTTTTTGAGGGCATATTTAATATCCTTGACACTCCGATTTCTTTCTTCCATGTTTACGAAGGAGCTGCAAAGGATAGCGGTGTTGTTATACGGCAACCGCAAAAACATTCCGTTATAAAACAAGTTCAGTAACCACATAAAGTATACCAACGGGGGGGAAAGTAAATTACACTGAGCTAAAAACACAATTATATATCAATAATTTATAGATATGGTTAGTGGGTTCTTATCTCGTTCCTGCATGCATGTTCGAAATAACAGTATGGAATGTAGAATCCCTGGTGTCAGAAGCAACAAAATTTGAAAAAGTTGTAATGTTTGCTATGGAACCAAACTAGTGGAGTATCATTGCAGTTACCCTACAAAAAAAGGGTCCAAAACTAAATTTCTAACCGGCTTTACCGAATCCGTCGGTCTAGTCTTCGCACCGCACTGTGCCAGGGTCCATCCCGTTCAGACATTCTTAGTTGGGTTCATAACTGCAATCAACCTTTGACTTGTTACATTATAGCCTTTCTCAAGGTGTTCAAATACAAGAAAATTTCAATGATCCATCTGATTCTGAATTGACGTCCAAAATGAAATTGGTAGCACTTTTTTTTCTGACTTTCGATTTCATAATGAGTGAGATGATTTTAAAAGCTAACAACTGTAAGGGGCATACAGCTTAACTAGACAACGAACGGTGGTATAGCTCTCTGGTACACAAGACCACACCAAGGCTGATATCAATGTCTTTAATCAAACATCCTAGATTAGGAAGCCTCCACCTCCCCTCCACCCCCACTCTCTCCCTAATGAAAAAAAAAACTTAAATCATCACAGTTTTGTAATGAGAAGGGTTTAGGAGGATCTAAAGGTCAATAAAAACACATAAAAAGGACACCAGGAAAGAACAGTCTAAAGAGATTTCCCGCATTCATAATAGCGATCCGTGAAAATAACTTCTTCAATAGCATGATGCCAACTCCCCTAAAAACCTTAAGGCATTTGTTGACCCTCTTTCTCTAATTACCTATTTGATAATTAGGTGTTCTTACATGTTAACTAGCACATGCCATATCTAGGACTTTTCTAATTTGTTTATTTGTTTGTTTTTCTTCCGATTTATAACCATGTCTTGTCCTCTTTGGTTTAAGATCTCTGCACGGCGACAGCAGGGACTGGGAACAAAGTCAACAGGAGGCCGCGAACTTATCTGCTACTATAAATGAAATTCTGGACTCATACGATTCCAAATTACGACCTAATGCTGGTGGTAAGTGTCTGCTAAATAGACCCGTTGACGCTTTCTCTCCTTCCTGCCAGTCATAAAGTTAAGCATCTCGAACCTTCGTATTTTGGGGGGAGCAAGGACGGCGCATACAGTGGTGAGAGTACTCGCCTTCTTTCACCAATGCGGCTCGAGTTCAATCCATCCTAGCGTCGACTCCATATGTGAGCTGAGTTTATTGTTTGTTCTGTTATTTTCTTTAAGAGGTTTTTCTCCGTGCTCTCCGGTTTTCCCCTCTCCTCCAAAACCAACATTTCCAATTCTAATTCGAATAGGAATGGTAGACGAATTAAGAACAGGACCACTCTGTGGCTGTGCTTCCTCTGAATCGTTATTTACTTATTTATTTATCTATCTGTTTATTTCTTTTTTTATTATTTAGTTAGTTGTTTATTTTTAAAAGTAGGTTGAGTTTGATCGTCCGGGTGAACGTAGTCCTGAATAGGACTGTTGTTGTTGTTGACAGTGACTGACGTTTCGACAACCTGTGCGGTAGACATCTTCAGAGCCAAAGTGAGTTGTATCACGTCAGTTGATGGTATTATAGTCTGGTTATTGATCTGATTGGTCAATCACGTCTCGATGTTATTGGTCGTCTGTCAGTTAAGCCGTGATGTTATTGGCTATGAAGACTCGTAATCAGCAATTGGTGCGTTTCGATCCGTCTATTGTCATAGTTAAACAGTCGTCTATTGTTAGTCAAATTGTCAGTTCCCCAGTCATTCTCTCGTAGTTAGTTTTGCTTGATCTCGTCAATAAGTCGTTTGTACGGCGCTGATAACTGTTGGCTACGATTCAGTGGCGTTTGTTCTAAGTTAGTAAACCATAACATTTTCTTCGATCTCCTACACGCGAACTGTACCTCTTTAGTTACGTTACGTTGACGACATCTTCACTGCCATGCACAAAGACGAAATCGACGATTTTCACGAACACCTTAACAGACAGAACGCGGACATACAGTTCACCAAGGAGATCGAAGAAAATGGTAAGATACCTTTTGTAGACCGCTTGGTCACTCGCGACCACAACAAACTAAAAACGACTATTTACAGAAAACCGACACATACCGACCGATTACTAGACCAGTCTTCGTACAACCTGACCTCTCACAACTATCCGGACTCTGACGAGACGAGCGCAACTAGTTTGCGACTCACCTGACAGCCTACAAGACGAGACTGATTATCTTAACAAAGTTCTTAGTAAGAACAATTACACCACGGACTTTGTTAGACGGAACACTCACAGTAACAGTGATTCCAACACTCAGACCAGCTCTGGCCCTGTTACAACAGCGACTACACCGTACATCAGAGGCACCTCTGAACTATTGCACGTATATTACAACCTTACAATATACGTGTTGCACACAAACCGATAACCACTTTACGGCGACCGCTTACTAATGTCAAGGACAAAGACAAACCGGAGGACAGACAGGGAGCAGTATACAAGATTAAATGCTGCGACTGCCAGGCTTCTTAATTGGTGAAACCGGCAGAAACCTAAGCACGCGACTGACCAAACACAAACGAGCGACGAGGAATGGTGACGTCAACAATCACATTGCTGAGCCGTGACCATTTACAGACAAAACATCAAATAGGCCATTTTACAGTTATGGATGGAAGCGACGCTGACGGTGACCTTGTTTTGGTACAAACCTTCCTGCTTTATTATGTAAATCAAGTTATTCTTATGCTAACTAGTATTTTTCAGGGACAATTTACATAACAAAGCAAAGGAGGTTTGTATCAAAACAAGGTCACCGTCAGCCTGACATTCACTCGAAGGCTAGGGTACTAAGTCCACAACTGCAAAATAGTCTATTGACTGGGACTCTGCGACATGTATAACGTATTCTACAGACTGCTATCAACGTCTTACTTTAGAAAGCTGGTTTACTAACTTAGAACAAACGCAACTGAATCGTAGCCAACACTGTTACCAGCGCCGTACAAAAGACTTATTGACGAGATCAAGCAAAATTAACTACGAGAGAATGACTGGGGAACTGACAATTTGACTAACAATAGACGACTGTTTAACTATGACAATAGACGGATCGAAACGCACCAATTACTGATTACGAGTCTTCATAGCCAATAACATCACGGCTTAACTGACAGACGACCAATAACATCGCGACGTAATTGACCAATCAGATCAATAACCAGAGTATAACACCATCAAATGACGTGATACAACTCACTTTGACTCTGAAGATGTCTACCGCACAGGTTGTCGAAACGTCAGTCACTGTCAACAACAACAACAGTCTTATTCAGAACTACGTTCACCCGGACGATCAAACTCAACCTACTTTTGAAATGACCCCTGGGTTCAAACGTTTCACAGTTATTTATTTTTAACGTAATATTTTCCCTGCCATGTGTTTATAGGTCGTAATTAAGTTGTAGAAGCCGCGTTCATTGACTTTCCCTTTTTTTTATTTTTGCTTTAATTGGTTATAGACTAACTGTTATAGACTTTTTTTTCTCTTAAAGGTGTACCTGTGGAAGTTAAGGTTGAAATCAAAGTTGTTTCGTTTGGAGAATTAAATGAAGCAAACATGGTACGAGACTGTTCATTTTCTCATGTTAGCTAGAGCGATGAGAAGTAGAAAGCACTAGGCAATTGTATAATAAATTCGTTCATTTACGAGTTCCCTCAATCTTAATCAGGTAAATGACGACAGAAAAGCGACCACGTTGATCATAGTTAGTTAAGTGGAATGGTTAGAAGCCCTTCAGACTCCTTTGTTTATGTGTTTTTGTGGACTTACAGTGCACATCGTTCAATAACATTCCTATCATTTTGATCTCACTAGCCAATAAAAACACGTAGCATTAATTTATTCCGTCACGATTTGTGAACAAAAAAACAAAGAATTTTGCACTGTAAGGAGCTCCTAACATAAACTGCAGCACCGGTGTGTACCTTTGATGTTTGCCGTCTATCATAACTGGCCACCTCTACTAGCTATGCTTAGATGATGGTATCTGAATAACACTAATAACACGGCCCTTCAAGAATTGAAGAAGCAAGGTTAACAATTGTCAACTTTGCCCGGGCACAACCCTTTTTAATCTGCCCTATATATATTACGTATTTCGCCCATATTCTTTCACAATTTAGTTAAAGAAGTATAAAAAATATGAAGTCGCATTAAACTTTCCGTTCAATTATCTATATAAATTTCTCTTGGTAACCCAGTGTCGTGTCTTCTCATGCGCTGATATAGGAATATTCAATGGATTTATTCTTCCGCCAGTGGTGGTATGACCCAAGATTCAAGCATAATTCCAGCACGCCATTCACCATGGCAGCAGATCCTACTGAAATGTTCTGGACACCAGATACGTACTTCTTCAACGTGAAGAAAATAAAGTACCACTTTGTGACACGTGAAAACATGCGTGTTATGATTTACTCAACGGGTAAAATTTACTTCAGTGCCCGGTGAGTAAGGAAATGCAAAGCCGTTCAATGTAACAAATTAGCCATATAGTTATAGCGGAGAGCAACCTCCATTGCTTTAGAAATTGGAAACCTTATCGAGAAAACTTGGTTATGCCCGTCCACTTACCCGCTCGTAGAGAGCGGCGGGAAGGGACTTAGTAGACAAGAATTCCTCCCCTCCTCCCCTAGAGAGTTTTTTATGTTCCTATTGTTTTAATAGGAGTAAGAAAGGAAAGGCTTTTGGTTGGAAGATTTTTTTCTATTTGATGCACAGGTTTTTTTTTTTTTTTTTTTTTTTGTTGTTGTTGTTGTGTTTTTGCTGTAAACATGCGAGTTTTAGCGAGAGTTTTTTTCATGTCGGATGTGTGTTTGCGGGATATTAATGAGCTTACACAACAACGACGGTGATGGTTACGATGATGCCGAAGTCTCCTAAAGTTAAGTAGGGATCTGAAGATTTAGTGGCTTACAGTTAGTACTGGTTTAAAGTTAATTGCTTTATTTTTCTAAACTGAAGTTTCGTTTTCAGCCCTGGATAAATCAATATATTATATTACATAAGCAGCAAAAGAAACGGCACGTTAAGTTCCATACCACAGACTCACAGCTCTAGTTAAAACAATCTCCTCTCGATTAGTTTATGAGCGCCTGCGCAGTACCAATTTGTGTAAACACATTAGAGGCTGGAAGCTATCTCGCATCTCCTACACGCTTCCCTCTGTTAAATTATGATAAGAGACTGAGACAAAACAGGATGACTGGGGATCAGTCTGTCTATCTTCTCTTCCTGGTCACCCTTGGGAAGATAATTATTGTTTCGACTGAAAAAAAAATGTTTGTCCCAGTGGCTTAATAACTAAGTTAGATGCTGAGAGAGCTGTACCTTTAAAAGTAGATGCCAGCTGGTTCGAATCCTGTAGAGGACCTGGCGGGATTGCGTTCGGCCGCTAGTATGAAAATCATGATATTTCTCCATTGAATTTCATTTGTACAGTTCTTACAACGTACCGGTATTGATTTCATAGGCATCACTGATTTGACAAAAATATTTTATCCTTACTGTTTTTTTCTTTTAAGGATAACATTAACAGCCCAGTGTGATATGGACTTTCACCTTTACCCAATGGATACCCAACATTGCTCCTTGGTTATCGAAAGCTGTGAGTATTGACTTCTCGTAAAAATTCAATAGACTGCAATGTACACTTATTGAGGGAAATCGGTTAGTTTTGTTTAACCGAGAGTCGCATCGGGAAACATCAGGACTCAAGCATAAATGTTTTGTTATATTTCTGACTTTCACTTCAACAGCGAGAAAGAATAAAGAAAGAATCAAAACAATGTCGGCACTAATAAGCTTTATAAGAACACAAATTTAACTTTAAAAACCGCTGAACAAATGATCCACAGAGTACTTTTCTTGTGATTTTCTGCACTTTTTTCATCCACCTGCTGCTGTATCTCTTCCTGGGTAGCTTTGAAAATCGTTGCTTTTAACTTGAGGCTCCGTGTGTGTGCCGAAGTATGCGTTCACGAAAGTGAAAACTGGCAGTTTTTTTTGTTGTTGTTGCTGTATCCTGAGCGAGGTACAGTTTCTGAATTGTATCACAAATCGGGATATATATATTTGAATTTAGTCAAGATCACGTGACCAAGAATCAACCAGTGGCAGTTCCTGTTTAGTTGAGTGAAAGTCTAGGAATATAACAACAACTTACGCAACGTTCCAAAACAAGTTGCACGCTTTTTTTCCCGTTTTACCGTTCCTTTAAATTCAATTTGTAACAGAATAAATTTTCTCTATCATTAGACGCGCACACTACAGAAGACATAGATTACAGATGGCGAAGGACAAAGACGAACCAAGGAAAAGGGATCGAGATTGTATCTCAAGAGATGGCCCAGTTTGAACTGACCGGGATAGAAACCAAGATCAAGGATACGGAAAACAGCAAAGGTTAATATTCTACATCGAAATCTCTGAGGTTGAGTTGTCGTCATCGGCGGAGCTCCTGGAAGCTCATTTGTTGAAAAAATATTCAAGAAAAAATGATAGCTTTAGGTTGGATTAAAAATTAGATCAGATTAAAAGCGCTTCAGACATGCACAATAGCAACTACTGTGGGAGGAGGTTCCTTAGACTTTCCTTAATAGATTAGAAAATATGACGAATCTTGGTTAGAGGAACACTTAAACCAAAGCTGTGAATGAAAATTAGATAAAATGAGACGATAGTAGTCAGGATTGATGTGACCATACTCAAAAAAGACTTGTAGAGGTGAAAACCTAACCGGGCTGGTTGCAAAAAAAAAAGAAAACTGAAAGGGTGGCAAAACCTCTCTCCATTTAATCATCGAAAAGTTTTCTGGTTATGACACACAGGTATCCCAGTAAAACCAAGAAGAAAATGATATCATTGCTTTTTCTTGCGTTGAACAAAATCACACCAGGTCATTGTGTTTTCATTATCAGGTTCTTTTGCTCGTCTCAGCGTCGTGTTTTCGTTCAAGCGCCGTCTGGATTATTTCGTGTCATCCGTATTTTCCCCCACGGTAACTCTGGTCATCCTCTCGTGGTGCTGTTTTTGGATAAACCGCCATGCTGTTCCGGCACGCGTATCCTTGGGAATAACAACAATACTCACCTCAATTGTGCTTAGTGGCTCCATGAATCAAGAGATGCCGCAAGTCAGTTACATCAAAGCTCAAGACTATTTCTTACTTGTCAGTTTTGGATTTATCTTTGTGTCATTTCTAGAGTATATGATAGTGTTGAATTCGGATCCTCGACCTGTATGGTTTGGATGGCTAAGAAGTTGCTGTGTTAAGGAATCAGGAAAGGTATCTAATGTAATGTAGACAGATATTAGTAAATGTCTGGGGAAGGTACATATGATTTAATGCCATGAATAAATGTCTGAAATCCAGCTGAAGAGTTTGCTTTCCCTAATAACATATCTAAATCCACTATCTTCAAATAAAACTGTTAAAAATGATAATTAAGCCAAGATCAAGGGCGGCTGGGAGAGAACAGAGGGAAAAACTAGGGTGGTGTTCGAAACAAACAAAAATGTTCAAAACCTTCCAGATACTTGCTGCAAGTGTGAACAGAATTAAGCACACAACTCGGATCTTGGGTACTTCATACTATAGACACGATGCATGGAAAAGATTCGTATGACTTCATGTTTGATAGACTTCCGTCCGTTTAGTTGAGAGTTATATATGTATACAGGGCTAGGGGACATTTCCTGATGTACATCATAATGCGCATGTATCTCATTCGTGTGCATTTCCTCATACTGGCTAACATTTGCTTTGTGTTTGTTCTACAATAACAGGATGAGAAAAGACCATTACAATTTGAGGATGCGGTTACAGAAAAGGAGGTAAAGAAATCTATTCACGGACAGATATTTTTCGTAATCGACCAATTTCGATAGAAATTATTGAAATTCATACTCGTTTCCGAGGCTTGGGGAATAAATCAAAAGAAGTGTATTGTTCATTGCTAAGCCTCAGGATGATTTCTTTTGTTTTATTCCTCCAAGCCTCAGTGCCGAGAATGAATTTAATATATCGAAATTGGTGAAGATCTATTACATGACGAAAGAGCCCCTCCAGGGATTCCGCTTAATATAATATGATGAGTAGCGAGCTTACGATTCTGATATTTTTCGTTTGCAGACCAGTTATAGCACAGAGCCTGATATGGATTTAGAAGCGGAAACCAATCACACCACTGAACACGATATGATACACGGCCGTACGCATGTTCGTAACGGCACCATACCAAGGCGAATAGTGGTGTCTAATACAGAACAAGGGGCAACAGTTCTGTTACTAGATAAATACGGACAAATGCGTAATGGCGGGAAAACTCACATCAACTCTGCAGCCAAACAAGAACTTTGTAAGAAGCCAATTCGGGCCTGTACTCACTGGATCGACATGGTATCCCGGATCATCTTCCCAGCCTCCTATGCTGCCTTTTTGTTGGTATTCTGGCAAAAATTCGTTCAGGAAGGAAACATGAAGGCTATCAACAGCACTAATTAACTCTTAAGTCTTTATAAAGGCAGTTACTCCTGAATTTTTCATAAAAAGTAAAAAGCTATTTTACCCTTGTCGGAAATTGAAAATTTTATGAAGGTTTGTTAATTTATTTCAATGACCGCAAAGAGAGTGGTGCACTAATTAAATCGAAGTTAATGTTAAGGGACGGACCATTAGCCGCCGGAATTTTTTTTCGTTAGCAGATTCCTTGTATAAATTTTTTTTTTATTCCATAGCATGAATATTTTCTAGGGTTAATTGGCGTGCAAGAATTTTTTTTCATTTAATGTTCCCTTGCGCGATTTTTTTCTTTCCCCGCCCCCATAAGTTTTCTAATGGTCCTTCCCCTGAGTTACGCTGTTTATAAACTGTTTTCAGCATTTTTTGACAATGACAATGTTCTAACTGGGCCTCTGCTGAGCGATTGTCTGGTTTTGACGTATTCTTATAACCTGCCCTTTTATGATGCTGAGAGATTGAGAACATTGAGTTAGCATAGCTCCGCGGTGGGGAAAAAAACTAAAGGCGAAAAACGGCTTTTAATATGCCAAATATGCTAAAGGAGATCATATGGCCTGCACCACTCCAGTCAGTTTTTCTTAGAAAAAAGTATGGCTTAACATAGACTTTTATCTGATTGTATGGTTGAATTACAACTTTGAATGTTTGAATTTTTTTATAATAATAGTATTTGGTCGGGTATTTTCCAATAGTGCAACTTTTATGACAAAAATTAGAGAACAGTCTGTTAACCTTATTACAGGCTTTTGTTTTCAATCGTTGGTGATAACAATAATAACCCCTTAAGATTACATATCAGAGCGTTTAAAACTTGTCATTTACTTTTCACGCATTTAAGAATTAAATAGAAATCACAATTATAGTTATAATTATATAGAAGATATATCCGACTCTTAAGTTTGTCAAGAATAGTTTCTGTGATCGAGTGTCCCGTCTGTCATTAATTAAACACGAATACAATTATCGTGGATAGATATTTCCTTCTTCATCTTCTTATTCTTATTCAAGTTCTTCTTCTTTCCCATGCATTTTACGTTTGAGCAAAACGATCAGTAGGATGAGAATCAAGAGGATCTCACTTTCACCCTAAGGGGGGAGGGCATTAAATTTTGAGGGAGTGGCACATCAAAAACAATACCTTGTGATAGATAACTAGGAGAAAATCTGCATAAGGAACGGCGGGAGAAATTCATAGAATTCCCATCTTCTTTTAAAAATTTGTACAATGGGAGTCTGATAGGCATATTTAAAAAGAAGAGAATCTAATCTCTCTCATCCTTTTCCGATGAGAAAGGTTGAAAAGACATAATTTCATCGCCCCCTACGATAAACGAATATTGCTTTCATGCCTGAGTCTGGGTGAATTCACCCAGGTTCTCTCTCAGCTTTTTTATATTATCATTAGAGTATAATATATTATGCGTAGTTTAAATATCTTTTACTTTTATATTGTATCTAGGTAATTCTTAATTATAAATTGTCAGTGTCCCCAAATTAGTATGAGGCTGTTCCCAAGCTATACGGCTCCGACACATTAATAAAGTTTTCTCTTCTCTTCTCTTCTCTTCTCTTCTCTTCTCTTCTCTTCCCTTCTCTTCTCTTCTCTTCCCTTCTCTTCTCTTCTCTTCTCTTCTATTCTATTCTATTCTATTCTATTCAGGTATGTGAGCAATATTTGTTAAGTTAAGGATAAACACAAAAGCTGAATTTGTTGGCTATCTTCACACAGTGTAGAAAGATCATATTGCTAAGGCTACATAATATATCGCGCCATTCACTGCAAAACCTTTTAGTGTGAAATGGTTTGATATTTCTAGAACATTACATGGTCGCTTGGTGACACGAAATTTCTCTTCTCGTGTTTAAAATACTTTTCAACACTCGAAGAGATATTTCGTAACTCCGATCCTGGCGGCGAAATAATATTCTCTATGTATCTCATATAGGTCCCTTTTTGTGAGAGATAACTTTTGTCAATCTACATCCGGTCAGGAGAGAATTTCTAAACTCAAGAGCACTGGACCTATGCACATGTTTGTGATAAACTGATACTTTTTTTCCCATGAAATGGGAGGATTTCTCACCTAATTATTTCTATTGTAGGTGATCAAAATGTCCCCTCTCCTCCCCCCAAAAAAATAAATTCCCAAAGTTTTCCAATTTTTCAGTTTTACTGCAGAAAGCTGGCATTCATTCAGCGTTACCTTAAGCTTTTTAATTGGCGATAATATCAGTTCGCTCTTTGATAGCCAGCTGAATCTAAAGATCCATTTGAACGAACTCATTAGAGACAACCACCAACTACTTCCTTCCCCCACCCCGCTTCCCCATGCACTTAATTCCAACGGCCTCGCACTTGAAAAACTGCTGCGCGGGCCCCTTGTTAGAAACATTTCGGTGTTACTTAACCTGTTTCCACACTATGCCAAAGTGGTCAAGGCAAGCTGAAAATAGGAGGAGCTTTTAATACAGCGATCATTGTATTTTTCAACCCTGCGTTTAAGCAAATTAAGAAATGGACAATTCAAAACAACAGGGGCACTCGCTGCGAGAGGCAAAACAAGATTTATCAGCAAAACGTTATCATCTATTTTATAACAGAGCCAATACTTTAAAAGTTTCAAAAATTCCAAAGTAACCATCAATATAAGCAGTTTTTCGGGAAAACAGTTGATCCAACTCGACAGACCGAACTTAAACTATTGGTTTACAGAGTAGGACTTGATAAATATATATACTTACTTTATAGCCACCCCGGGACAACGAAAGCTCTTTACCCGAACTTTCATTCCTCTAAAAAAATACGAACAAACAAAGAAAGAAACTGACTAGGTGAAAATTTGTAAATTTCATAGAATATCAACTCATTTCAATAGTTGGACTCTACTAAAGAATATTATCTCATTGTAGAGTTGAAAAAAAAAATTTCGAGAAAAATCAATTTTACTTCACAGAATCTTTACGTGATCTATTATCTACTATAAATATTTTTTTTTATTTTCAGTATTTTAATCAAGATTGCACCTATAGCGGGTTCACGTATGATCCTAAGCCTAATTAAAACGCAATCGCTTTTCGATAAAATTAACCATTCTCCCGGGAGGTTTAGGCGTGGAAACGTATCTTGTTATGACATTCTTCACTCACTGAACCAAGATACACTTTTCGATTTGAAATGTTTTGATAGGAAGATCATGTAGAAGAGAATAGAATAATTTCAAAAAAATAAACTATAGGAAAAATCGCTTTGTAAATTGTGACAGAAATGTTTTATTTTTACTTTATTGAGGTATTTATTCGATCATACATTATTAACAACTGGTGTTTAGGCGCCCAAAGTGTTCTGTTATCTTAAATCCATTGTAGGCAATTGGTGCCTTTCAGTTTGTTTTGGATTTCAATCGCGCAGTTTAATTCTTATCAGTTCACTGTGCACCAGGGAATTCATTGGGCTAAAACAAAAGCATTCCGTTGCATTTCAACGTTTATATGAACGCAAGGTTCTTCTCGGTGTGGAGTTGGTGTGAATAATTCACCTTACAGTCGCGCTACCCCGAATGGTAGGTAAGATACTCACTAGCTTCTAAATATAAGCAGAGAAAGAGCTTAGGAAAATAACTCTCAATTAAATTTAAAAGCGTTTACGTCTTTACTGGACATCTATATATATATATATATATACATTTTTTTTGGTATATTACAGTGATGTAAGACACTCCTTAAATAGTGAGAATTGCCGACATAATGCAATTATATAAAAACAAAACTTTAGAACGAAATAGAACGTTTCTGGGTGGTTATAAAATCAAAATTAAGTTCCTTCAATTGAATAACGTCGGGATGAGAGAAGCTTTCTAAGTTCCAACAGCTGTTTCAACATTAAGTAATTTTTTTTCCCTAGAATCCCCAGTCAACGTTAACGTTGAGGCTATAATCAATTACTAACAGTATTCATGTTAAACATACTGCATAATGTTGAGTCCTATCTAAAACTATCAGCGAACTGACGAAACAAATCAACCTTTATTCATCCCTTTTATGGCGATATACTAAGCATTTAAATTCAGATTAATTTACTTAGTAGTCTGACGTTAGAGGAAGTTAAAGGAAGTTTAGGAAACTCTTATGTTAAGTGTACGTCCAGGTTATTACAACACAGGGCTAGCCTTCACTTATCCAACAAAGAGAAGGTGTTGGAAGGTCTTTAGTATTCTAATCTTGTGGTAGCATTAATTTACCACGATAATTTATAATGATCAAAACTGCAAGATTTGACCTGAGGGAGAATTTAATTGTGGTAAAGTATAAGTGTGAGATAACCGAGCTTTTCACCAACAAAGCAATTTCAAAAATAATTTCTTAGTAAAGATCTCTTTGGATGGGTTCTTAATATTCTGCCAATTGAAAGTAACTTTGTCAAATATACTTGTGTGATCAATTATCGACTTGTGACTAAGCCTAAATTTACAGCTTCAATTACTTCTTATTAAGCACACAGTTAAGCTTTTGAATTTTTCATGACTGGGAAAAAATTCTTTTTACATCATTATCAGAAAGAACATGTATGTCTGACAGACGAGACTGCAGCTGCAGCAATTATTACTAACTCGTGAACAGGTTTTTTTCCAGAGTCCTAGCTAGATTTCAATAAGTAAAAGCACGGACTGCTATGCTTTGAAAATACCAGAAGTCGATACCCGCGCAGTGTGATAATCGTGACTCCCCAACATTGAGCAATCAATTGGAAATTAGTCAATTTGTTAAGAATACTATTATTTTTCGTTCATCAAATTATCAGCAAGAGGCACAATTATTTTAAGTTTGAAAAAATAAAAGTCTTGCCAAATAAATAAATAATAACAATAATAACACTATTCATCGTAGACTGAGTATACTGACTAACTGCAAAGAGTAAGTATTTCACGTATTGCTTTACCTGACTGGATTTTTTCAGAATTTGTTAACATGGATGTCAGAACGTGCACAGCCGTATTTGTGCTGATCATTTTCACTGCAAGCTGTACACTAGAAAGCAAAGGAGACCCTGAAACGTAAGTTATTTGCAAACTACTTTCTTATACCTCATTCCTATAAAACATTAAACAATCGTAGTTAAAATTCTTCATTTATCCTTCTTCCTTTGAATTAAAATCATCTTCTTTTCATAAAACAAAAAAAATAAATCGTCAGTATGGTAAATGAATTTATGGGTGTTTCATTCCATAACTGTGAGTATGAATATCAAAAACGAAATGCTGTGCTCAAAAACGTTTAAATCACTGAATAGATATGAACGACCTGAAAAAACAACGAAGCAATTTAAACTGGTAAAGGTCGTGTGATTTTCGTGGTATTTGTAATGATTTATTACTAATTTTGTCATATTGTGGTTTCTTTTCGCAGAAATAAATATAAGAAGTCTATGGAGGAGGCATACAATTTGTCCTTAGCGATCAACAATAATTTAGAAAATTATGATAAAAAGTTGAGGCCCAACGCAGGAGGTAAAAGCCAACTTTAAGCTGCCAGATGAGGGTGGAGGAGGGGGGAGTTAATTCCATTTTAAAATGACTGGAGGGGCTATCATCTCTCTACGAGATTGGTTGGTAGATCGGTTGATTAAGGACAATAAATTTCCAAGCACACATTAATCTGACACCTAAGGGTTCTTTTGGAAGATTTTACGACTCACATTTGTCGTTGTTTTGTTCTGTCTGTTTTTCTTTTTTTTCGTTGCTGTTATTGTTGTTGTTTTTTTAACAAGAGTTAAACCCCCTCCCCAAGGCCAAAGGTTAGCAAAGTTTTAATTAGTTACTAAGAGTCATATATACTATAAGAAAGAGCTTGGATATATCAAACACATTCGTTTAAAAGGTCACACCGGCCATGGTACAAGGGAGGCTTGACTACAACCCGTTGCTAGGTTCAAGTATTTTCGAACGATCTTAATATCGTTTTTAATCAATAGCGTGTAGCAAACACTTCGATAATGGTATATAAACTATATTCTGAAATGTACTAATCCGTCATTTAAAATACCTGTCCTTTTTCAGTATTATGTGTCACACTGTCAGAACTCGACGACTTGACGACGACACTTAACTT